ATATTATATTATGCAAAAAGCATAAATGAAGCCGTTGGCACGGAGCCGTTATAAAACACCCATATGCGAATAATCTTGAGCAATAAACAGCAGCGTAAGTTCCAACCCCACGGGATTCTTCAGTATGTTCATCTAGCAATGGATGTCCCTGTGCTGCTGTATTTCTGTATTCGTTTAGCTCTTGTGTGATGATCGGTGAGCGGGTATCGATCGCCTCACCTGCCGTTCCGCGCCTGTTCCAACAGCTCTGGCTTCGAGACGTTCTGGGGTGGCTTAAAATGCGATAGAAACGAGCTACAGAACTGTCGCAATGTCCCAAATTGCATTTTCACCTGCCACCTCCTCCCTATCCGAACCCAGTAGCTAGTCTTTCACTTGAGGAAACAACAACAGCACACCCACAGCCCAGCGACCGCTACATCCGTGTCGATCAAGTCCCATATTTTCCTGGAGATCTGATGGATGTGCGCCTCATGCTCCAGTCCTGAGGTGCTGCTGCTGCTGCGGCTGCTGGGAGCGGGGGATGGATTCCGTCTGACGGCGTGCCAGAGAGAGAGAAAAACAGCGCTGCATTTTTACCGGCTGGAATATCTGGAGCTGCGTCCATGCGCCACCGTCTCGCCTCGGAGAATCAGACAAACTGGAGCAGCACACACTCTCTCACACACATATTATTCCTGACGCGCTCGCACTGGCTGCTCGGTTTCTATGATGAGAGATGCGCAAACGGGAGCGTGAACGCGGCATTCTGATACAGTGCGCTCTCGGGAGAAGTAGAGAGAGAGGGAAAAACAAGTGAGCATTTTAGGCTAGTGCATATGATAGCCTACCCTAATATGCTGTCTAAGCAGTCAGCTTACTAGGTTTTCAGACACAGCCGGAGACGCTCAAAAGCACTGGAGCTTCGCGCTTTACAGTGCACGAGTGACAGGCATATAGCTACGTACCATTTGTTTTATCGCGTATTTTATATTTTACCTAATCGACGCGGGTTAAAGATCACTTTAAAGAAGTGATTGCCTATTTGAAGAGGACTGGCAACGTGAGGGAATCGAATATCCTTTAGTTCTGACTTGGGACCCCATTTACACCTGGTATTAAAATGCGATCTGTATCCAGATAATAAAAAACGCATAAATGCGTTGTGATCGGATCTGCCACATCTGGAGGTAGTCTGGCTCGCATTGTGTTCGGATCTTTAGGTGTAAACGCAATGAGACGCAAGTATTTTATTTTCCTTTTTAATGTTTTTCTGTACCGGTAAACCACATTTTACAGGTCATTTTCTCTATCTCCATCATGTCATTATCATTATAAGAGATAGTGCTAAAATCATTAAAGTTACCAAAAATGGACAATTCTTTGTTTAAAGAAATGATCAGTTGGCTTTTGTAATCTTTAAAGGGGTCCTTGATTATGATTTCACTTTTTTTTTTTTTTACTTTAGATAGTTTGTAATGTTGCTGTTTGAGCATAAACAACATCTGCCGAGTTACAACGCTCAATGTCAGTTCAATGCAAAGGGAGATTCTTTCTTTTACAGAAATCGCTTTTTAAGGACTACAACAAACAGCTGGTATGGGACTAGCCTACATCAAGCTTCAACAAAGTGGGTGAGGCCATATTGGACTGCTTTAGAGAAGAGGAAGAGTTGTTGTTTCTGTATTTCACACCCCGGAAAAAAGTTTGTCCTAAAGATGATGAACTTAGAGAGCTAAAAATGTATTTCATACTGCTTTGCCTCCGCTAGCTTGCTAACTCACATTAGCTACAGTATTGATGTACTGTAGTGTTTACTATAGCTTTTGTAATACTGTACCGCCCCTTAGGAAAATTATCCATGATTTAGTGATCGATTACTGTTTGTATTATCATAGTTTTCTGACAAATAGGCTATGATTAAATGGTTAACATCGTATCTATTCGAAAATTGCACAAAAAGAAAAAATACCACTGTGAAATGTCCTGTGAAATCCGTGATTGCAAAGTCAGCACAATCCAATTGTTCGTTTGGCTTGCTTAGTCGGGGTTACTTAGTATTTAATATTTAACATTATTATTGATCTGTGTTGTACTACTTTCATGTTATCACTGTGAAGCTGCTTTGATACAATCTGTATTGTGAAAAGCGCTATATAAATAAATGTGACTTGACTTGACTTGACTTCGTTAACATTGTTAGGGTCTGAATCGGGCTCATAATGGTTAGAAATTGATGTCATTGATAATATTTACATCTGAGTAGAGCTTGCAGTTATGAAGAGGCGTGATATTTCCCAAACACAAGCTAAAGCGTGCCAATCACAACACACTGGGCCAGCTAACCAATCACAGCACATTTCGTAATTTGGAAGGAGGGGCTTCATCGAAAACGAAGCATTCTGGGGAGAGAAGAGCTGTAGTCATGTAAAATATGTGAAAAATAATGCACTTTTTGAACAATAGAGCATGAAAACATATCGTAGTACACCCCAAAAACAAAATCAACACTGCGTAAAAGGGCATCCTGCCGCTTTAATCAAAACATCTTACCCCCCTCCCTACGCAAAGACATTTCTTCGTGTTTCGCGGTGCGAACTTGTCACCCACATGAGATCACGGCATACATCCAACCAGCTGCAAGGTTCAGAATAATCACTTTGAAAATCACTTTTTGTGTGTTTAAAATAGAAATCACCATTCTTCCATAACAAAATAACATGCAATTTAAAGTTCTGACAAGATGTTAATTGATGCAGTCTCTTTAAAGATTATTTTTTTTATAAATTTGAATTTAGAATTTAGATTCAGTGGCTCACTTGTAAAGACTTCACTTTCATTGCTGAATGAATCAGCGTTTCTGAATGAATGAATTCTATGTTGATCACTACCTTAGACATCAGAAATAGACATCCTGTATAATTCACAATATTACAAAATTAAGTTCCGCCCTTAATCTTTCTTGTTCAAGAAGTCATTTAATACGTCAGATAATACGTTAGAAATACGTCACAATGGGGAAGAATTGTCAAATTCAAGTCTAATTGCAACGCATACAGACAAGGGATCATCACAGTACTCTCTACTTAGTAGTTTAGTACTCTAGAAAGCAACAAAAATTCTGGAAAAAAAGTCATTGACATTTTAAAGGCCAGTTTTCGTGCCAAGGACGATATTAGAGTCCACTAATGCACAATAAGGTTCTGTTTATTATATGCATGCACTAGTTTTATCATCTGCTGCTTTAAATGCTTGCCTTGAGCTCTTTAAAGCAGGATGGATTTTTTTATCATTCATCACCTGGAAAAAATCATTCTGAAAGTGATTCCATTGATACTGTTTCTCGATGAAGTTATTGTTTATTGATACGGTGTGGACTTCTCTATTCTCATAATTACAACGATTATTAAAACTTTGTAATTATTATTATTGCACTGTAAAAAATATTTTCAAGATTTGTTATCACAACATAATTTATTTTGTCAAATCAACTTTATAATAATTTATTTAGTTGAGATAACTTATTATTTTGAGTTTTTGATGGTTAAATTAATCTACTTCATTGTATTAACTCACTTTTTCCAGTTCAATCAACTTAAAATTTTAAGGCAACCCAGGTTACTTACTTTTTTAAGTTAAACCAACAATATTTTTATAGTGTAGTAATCACAACATTTTTTCTTTTGTCAAATCAACTTAAATAATTTATTTAGTTCAGATAACGTATAATTTTGAGTTTTTGATGGTTAAATCATTCTCCTTCATTGCATTAACTCACTTTTTCCAGTTCAATCAACTTAAAATTTTAAGGCAACCAGGTTAATTACTTTTTTAAGTTAAACCATCAATATTTTTTTACAGTGTAGCCTTTATTGTTGCATTTTTTTCAGGTTGGTTAACCTAGACAGCAATGATGTTCAATGAAACAGCAGAAGAAATTTATCAGACACATATGTACAAACAATTAGGCTGCAAAATAGTTAATTCAGAGTCTCACTCCAACTACTCAAGTATAGGCTGAATAATTGTTGAAAATATTGAGCGGTCATTGATGTCAATGACTACCCTTATCTACAGCATCTGAGCTCAATGTTTGCAAGTCCATCTGATGCTGATGTGGCCTGTGTAGTCAGTGCACTTTCCTCATTAGATCCTAGACCACTTACAGACCCTTAATGATCTGCTGGAAAGAGACTGCTAGTCCACTTTTCGAGTCAGACCAGAGCTAATGGGTAAAGCTGTGTCGGTGTAGCTTAGTGAAATATCTGTTCTAGTCATGAAGGCTGTAAGCACTATTACTATACGGCACGCCCAAGTAAAGTCCAGAAATCAGAAATCACTGTACACATTGAAAGTTGCTTTGACTCAGAAAGTATTAAACAGATAAAATTGTGAAAGAAGAAAATGAAGGAGCTAAATGTTCACTGCAAAGCATGTGTGCCTTCAACATAGCACAGCCTTTATCACATATGTACGTTTGAATTTTACAGATGCTCCTAAAGATCTCAAATATTTGCAGCTTCCTGTTTTTCAATGTTGCCGCACATAAAATGTCCATACATTACAGGTATCAAATGCATGCCCATGAATTGTCAATAATAAACACACTTCATTTAACTCAGATAGGGGTATTACTTAATTTTATTTTATTTTTACTCTTAACTGTTTTTATTTATATTGATTGCATTTACTGAATGAGCACTGTGCCACTGTTCGTCCGACTGTACTATACATTTTATTTTCGACACTGTATTTTATTTTTATTATTATGATTTTTTTTTATTCTAAACTGTTTTAATTATTCTGACTTCTTTTGATTATTTTAATTTCTTCCATGTAAAGCACTTTGAATTGCCACTGTGTATGAAATGTGCTATATAAATAAACTTGCCTTGCCTTGCCTAAGTATTTTCCACTCCAGGAAAACCTTCCTCATTGAGACAAAACCTTCGGACAGCATCAGTCCCGTACATTTTACATTGTCCAGGGCCAAGCATTGTGCAGGAATATAAACTTCTCACCTGTCTGAGGGGAGCCCTGAACCGTTTCTGAGAGGGTCCTGGTGTGCTCCTGCGGGGCCCCTTCTTACTTTGGCTTGGGACCCTGATCTGGACCCCTCAGGACCGCTGTAGAACCACGCTCCCGACTTGGTGAGGATTTCTTGTTGTTTTCGGCACAGGTTGCATACCCACATTACCTACATGGAAGATGGAAAATTTTCAAGTCGAAATAACTAACATTTATTTTCATAGCACTTTATACAGTAGACTAGATTGCTTAAAATAAAGCAGGTTTACCGTATTAAACATGAAAAACAGAGTCAGTGTCACTCGTTTCATCAGAAGTACAACTCCATTTTCTATTGTAAAGCAGCTCTCCACTGTGTTCATGTTTTCACTCGAGGGTCACGTCTGACCTCCACAGATTGAACAGGAGAAATGAAGCCGAAAAGATTTCCATGTGAAAGGCAGACTCAGAGCCTCTGAACAACACACCAACCTATTATGTAATTGTCAGCGACCAAAGGAAGTACAAAGGTGTTTACCAGGCGATCCGAAGCAAACTTTTTCCGGAAAGTTGGCTTTGGCAAGCTATTTCGAACATCCAAAACAAACAGGCATGCTGTCAAAATGACCATTCAGGATTTATCTCTGCAATGCCTTCACATTTCTTGTAGTTTACTGTATCTATGCAATGCCTTTGCATTTTTTGTATATGCAAACTTTGTATGTGTCACTGTCACCTCACTCTGATCGCATCGATTTCATAACTGCGCCACCTATCGGTCGAAAGTGATAAACCATTAAATAATTTAGTATGTAAGTTACTGTGTGTATAATTTTTAGGTCATTTTGCATAAATTAGTCTTTAAATGTCTTTAATTGCTCCTTGCTGCAGTTGGTCTGAAACTCCCAGCCATGTTGGCATGTTTTGTCATTGGCCTTTGCGCTTGGCCCCGTAATGGCTGCTTGCAGCTATAATTTTTCATTATTATTTTATTATCTGCAAGTACATTTTTTAAATATACTTTTAAGGTTTGACATATACAAGTGAAAATTCTGTACAATTAAGCTCACTTCTTTTTCACACGGGCACAGTAAATACATTTTAGTCTATATTATTTATTTATAATAATCACGCAACGCCAGTAGGATTGGATTCGATTGCATTCATGAATTCAGACGCGCTACGCTGAAGGGCTTTCCCCTAGTGTCGTCACCGACGCAGTGCCTTGTTCCCTTTCTCAGGGAACAAGGGTTACATACGTAACCCGAGACGGTTTTTCAGAAAATTAAAAATAGCAGTAAGATTTTGGTGACGGAAAATGATGTCATAGGGTGTCAATCGAATCGTCTTGAACTAAAGAATCAGATGAAAGGGGAATTTTGTTTCTAGTCCTTACAGTTAAAAAGTTATTAGCATAAACATGAGTGAAACTTTGGAAAGGTGGTGGCGCTAGAGGGAATGAGTAAGACACACCAAAGGCTCACGCTTGGCCCCTAATAAAAGACCACTTTTACAGAGAGTACATTTTCATGACTATGATTCTTTGTAATAATGTCAAATTTGAAGTTGCTTTAAAGTACAATTAATATTTGAATATTTGAATATAATCACATCCACTTTCACTTAAGGTATGTTTACTATATTAAAGTATATTATTTCCGTAATAAGTACTCTTTTTATAGTAGTACGCTACAGAGTACTTCCTTTTCACCGAACTTGAAGGCTATTTGTCTTACTAAACCACTAAATAAATTAATCGATAAAAAAAGAAACTGAGAATGCCGAAAACATAAAAACTACAATTATGCTAATAAAGAATATTTATTTTTAAGAGAGTATGGTAAATGTTTGCAAGACTCATGCAGACACACATAAACCGCACATTCGTACACACTGAAGTCAGACAGTGAAAGCGAGTAAATCAATGACTGCCATTAGAGCTGCTGCTAGAGGAGAGTGGTCACCTGTCTTTGCTGAATCACCAGTGAGTCAGAGAGACCGTCAAAGAAAGAGAGAGAATGTGAGAGAGACAGTCCAAAAGGGAGAAAATGAGTTTGTGTGTGAATGGAAAGGGCCCAGAAAATAGAACAAGAGGGCCATTAGTGACAGCCAAGTAATAAGGAAATATTGCCTGAACTGCTTTCAAATGGACTGTGGACATTAAAGTGCTCAATGCAAATGTTGCTACATGAGAAATGCATTACCGCAGAGGCTCCACACATTTCTGCATTTGGAGAAACACAAAGAAACCAGTGGCTGACACAAGACTTGCCGTATAAAGCATTGCGGACAACTTTATACATTTTATTTTAACTATTGATTTAAAGTTGATTATAAGTATAGAAAAAATAATAATTTAAGCTTAGTTTACAAGAGACTATACGATCGGTCGTAGTGCAGGAAATGCACTGTTTGGCACATGATTATTATTATTTTTAATAAAGATGAAATAACGCAGACTGATCATTGACAAAAACAAGCTTCTAGGCTACGTTGCACTCAATTTCTCAGGGGGGAAATAGTTAATTAACCCTTTTTTTACCAATAGAAGGGCATACTGTAACAGTAGGCTATGGGGTAAGTTGTCACAATGGGAACCTGCATTTAAACTGTCCAGCTTAATTTAAACCGTAAAACAGGTAGGCTATAGAAAAGATGTAACCTAACCAATAAATATATTAAATGATTTGTATTGGCCAATATTTACTGTAGATTAATTAATACATTTCAAAGAAAGAACACAGTTTAGGGTCTCAGTTAACTTAGGCTAGTCACCTAGCTAGCGTGTTTACTAATGTTCACTTGTTTACTCAACAGCGCAAGCGGCTATATATGATTTTGACATTAAATGGGAGTTCATATTTGATCAGAAAAAGGTAACTTGAGACTGTTTCGAACTGCTAAGGAACATATGTAACATAATATAGGCCTACATGTTAGATTTTAGCTATGTAACTTAACGGCTTTTGTTTTTAAAAACAGAGAGAGCCCTTATGACAACTCCGGTCTCACCTAGAAAGAGTCGAAAACATTTAAAAGAAATAAGTTTCCTACCCATTTCGTCGTTGTGGGTCATTTTGTATCCGTCGAGACACGATGAACAGCGATAGAGGAGATTGTTACAGCATACAATGGACTCTTGACGTGTTGAGCGTCTGCTGCCTCCGTCAGAACGAGAAATGATCGGCTCGGTTCAACTGGATTCTGAGAACGGAGAAGCCGCTATTGAGCTGCTGTCAGTTCTGCGCATGTCTGTTGTCTGACAGCGGCACCGGTCGCCGTTCAAGAGGCTGAATGAGCGATGAAGTTAAGAAGAAACTCACTGCTCTTGGCTTTAGTCTACATTATTTACGGATCCTGCCGCTATCAAGCCACTAAGCCGGAATTCAGTTCATTACAAATGCATGCCGTCTCCAACCGCCCGAAAAAACACTGAATAACAGACACGAAGCTGCAGACAAACGCTGTAAACACTAAAAAGCGGAATACACTCAAGCAATGTGCATGAGAGTTCTTCATCAAAAGCTGTAATGAAGTTCACCTAACATGACCTCACAATGTGTGAATGAGATCTAAGTGGACTGAACTCCGATTTACAATAAAAATAGTGCTGTTTTCACTGAATAATTTTAGTTAAAATGAACGCAAATTAATAGGTAGCATGAGGATGAGAAGTCAGACACCTTTTAAACTTGCTTCATTCTCTCTCAGCACTTCACAATGCATCAGAATTAACTCTAATGTAGTTAAAAGTTTACAGAAAGGAAGTCTAATCAACAAAATGTTGACTTTTTGACAGCTTCAACAGTGAACAGATCCAAACCCTAAATAACTTTATTTCCATCTGTCTTCAAACATGTTTATTAGAACAATGATAGATTGTAACAGATAGGCTACTATTTTAATTGAGTTTGCAAATCTAAAACCATCTAGAATAAGTGGAAACATAGTCTATTATTAAGCACACTGCATTAAGCTTATAAGAATATATAGTACATGTCTGTTCAGCTATTTGAATGTTGGTAATTTTCTCATATGTTTTAGATTTTATTGTAAACAATTACTTTGCATATACGTTTCATTTTTAATATATATTTGACCTTGTGATGTCATAATGACACACAGGGCTTCACCAATCATTTAGTCTGCTTAAACTTCACCCCTGCAACATTCATCTGCCTCCACTTTACAACAGCCGCGTCTCAAAATCCAATCAAACTGAAACAAGTCTCCACCCTACACTTTCTTTTTCTATTATTAGTTGCACTCATTACGCCACAATGTGAAAGAAACGATTTTGTTTAATTCTGACTTAAAGGGATAGTTCATTTTAATTTTAAAATTGTAATAATTTTATTTTCAAAACACAAGCTTTGAACTTATTTCGGCTTATTATTATTTTGTTTTGCTTGTTTGTTTGTTTTTCGTAGCAATATCTGGCAACATATGTTACAGAATGAAATTTGACAAAAACTCTGGCCAGCAGGAAGACGGCTCATGCTGTTGAGTTCATCAAGTCGTCATAAAAACATTAATTAAAGCAGTGTTTCTCAACTAGAAATCTATTCAGCCAGCATATTTGTGTTTTATCTGTGTGAATTACGGAAATATAAGACTTTTATTCTATATTTCTTTGCACAAAACTCTCCAAAAAGTGCCATTTAATGGTTTATTTAAAAAAAAAAAAAAAAAAAAAAAAAAATTTACCCCCTGTATATACATATGGCAAATTCCTTTAAGAAAAGGGTCGCAGGTTAATGCCCGGGGGAATGTGTCCAATGGTCTAACCATTATTATAGCACAATTCTTTACACAACACCCATTTTCAAACCCTGGTTACGGCCATGGATATGAACATGAAGGAAGTTTTATGCATGTTTGTGACAACTGTCATTAAGATCATCATTTTTAATGCAAATATGACATTGTTTGAGATGTCTTTGACATAAACCAATACATCATAACCTGTCAGTGTCTTTGTCATGACAACTTGACATTACTAAGACAACACAACCTGTCATAAACATGACATAGCAGATTAATGATCAAACTTAAGAAACCACCTTATTGGTTAACATTACATTAAACTGTCCTGTGGTTGATCATTGGCTGTCATGAAGCCATATAACTTTTAAATGACAAATTCAATTAGTACTCATGACAGCCAATGTCAAAGCCAACCACATGACAGTTTAACTTCATTTTATGTCAAGTTGTCATGACAAAGATACTGACAGGTTATGATGTATTGGTTTTTTGTCAAGATGTCATAAAGACATCTAAAAAAAAACAATGTCATATTTGCATTGAAAATGTCATAACTGAGCGAATGACACTTAATGACAGTTGTCATAAACATGCATAAACCCTATTTCATATTCATGATATGAAGGTTATGAAGGTGTCATGCCAGTATGCACACCCCTTCAAGTAAAGTTTTACCAAGAATTCTTAGTTGCAATTATTGCAATTGCAAAAGGTACTACAAAATGAAGCTATACGACATTATGTGGTCTTTTTTCCCATCAATCGCATGTTTTTATTTTCTCGTCCTTCCATGTACGATGTTGTGGGTGTGAATGTTTAAGGGCGTGGAGCAAGAGCTCAATGACATCACTGTCCCACCGCTGAAAAAGAATCTGGTCATCTAGCACTGCGGGGGCAACTCAATCCATGGCCTCACTAACATGTGGAGCCATTGACACTGACATCAGACACAGCAGCGCCGGTGTCCATGACACCCCAACACCAGCTGACTTCACACAGCTCCACACTCACTGTGCATCATGGGAAGAAAAACACTCGCTGATTTAGAAATAGCTCATCACAATTCAGCAAATATAAAACCATCCATATAACCATCTCAAGCAACAAATCAAACTAAATTATCACATACCACACTCTCAGAAAAAAAGGTACAAAAGCTGTCCCTGGGGCTGTACCTTTTCAAAAGGTAAACTTTTGTCCATTTTAGATGCTAATATGTACATTTTAGGTGTTAATATGTACATTTTAAGTGTTAATATGTACATTTTAAGTGTTAATATGTACATTTTAGGTGCTGATATGTACATTTTAGAACCTAATATGTACATTTTAGGTACTAATATATACATTTTAAGTGTTAATATGTACATTTTAGGTGGTGATATGTACATTTTAGGTGTTAATATGTCCATTTCAGGAGCTAATATGTACATTTTAGGTGCTGATATGTACATTTTAGGTGCTAATATGTCCATTTCAGGAGCTAATATGTCCATTTTAGAACCTAATATGTACATTTTAGGTACTAATATATACATTTTAAGTGTTAATATGTACATTTTAGGTGTTAATATGTACATTTTAGGTGGTGATATGTACATTTTAGGTGCTAATATATACATTTTAAGTGTTAATATGTACATTTTAAGTGTTAATATGTACATTTTAGGTGCTGATATGTACATTTTAGGTGCTAATATGTCCATTTCAGGAGCTAATATGTCCATTTTAGAACCTAATATGTACATTTTAGGTACTAATATATACATTTTAAGTGTTAATATGTACATTTTAGGTGCTAATATGTCCATTTCATGAGCTAATATGTCCATTTTAGTTGGTAATATGTATATTTTAGGTGTTAATATGTACCATTAAGGTACCAATATGCAGCCTTTGGGTACAAAAGTGTACTTTTGAAAGGGTACAGCCCTAGTGACTGCTTTTGTACCTTTGTTTCTGAGAGTGCAGAGAAGCAGATAAAAAAGTTTACATAGAACTACCATGTATATATAGTTGGTTTGCTGTCTTGCGTATTCTGATATAAGAAGCTAACGCTGAGATCTCAACAAAACCCGCAATACTGTTTGTGGGACACCTGAAAAGGCGAACAAGAACTGAAGCAGAGTACGCTCTGTCTGTATACAAGTGTTGTTTATCACAGTGTTATCTCATCAGAAGCATGTACAGATCTTCCTACTGCTGCACCCTCACTAAACACTATGCATTATGCACATCATTCATCATTCATGAGCTGTGAATAGTGAATTAGTCGCTGGTTAACAATTGACCAGCAGTAAAGTTATTTTCCACATTCTTCAACTCTTAAGAGGGCAAAGAGTACAGGTGGCGGACAAATTAGGATGTAAATAATCTCTATGGATGCAGAAAGCAACTGTCTGAGGTTCAAAAGCACAATCAAAGCTCAGTGGATAGGACACTTGTTGAATCGTCTTGTGGGCTAATTTTAATTGTTTGAATTTCATCCCAAAATTGAAGAGAAAAGATTGCCTTGTTCCAAATGTAAAAATAAATATATAACAATACTGTCATTTTAAAATTAAAAATCAGTAAAAAGGCACTGTATATGGTGTATATCACGATCATATTTTTCCACATTAGTGTTTTTGGAGTAAAATGCGTAAAAATATCATGGAAAAATGTCAAAATGCAAATACACACTACCGTTTAAAAGTTTGGAGTCAGTAAATGAATACTTGTATTCACTATGACGCATTACATTCATTAAAAGTGTCAGCAAAGACGTTTATAATGTTACAACAGATTTCTACTTCAAATAAATGCTGTTCTATTTTTTTTCTCGAAAAAGGATCTAATTTTTCTACAAAAACATTAAGCAGATACAAAATTGTTTTCAAAATTGATAATATTAAGATATGATTCTTTAGCAGCAAATCTGCATATTGAATTGATTTGTGAAGGATCGTGTCGTGTGACAATTAAGACTGGAGTAATGGACCTAGTGCAAGAGATTGGGAAAAGAGGGAAATGTACTGTGATATTATTATTGATTCATGTATTCAAGTCTAAACTCCAATGATTCACCGAATGACTCCAGTCAGACAAAATAAAAAATCTTATGAACTATTTTGAAATCACAAACACATGAGGAACAGAGGAAGGGCTGAATCACTGAATGGACAATGACGCCTACTAGTGGAAACATTGTTGAACAGCCTGTTGGTTTCATAAAAAAATTTTAAAAAAATAAATAAAAACGTTATTTCTTTAGAAACAATAACTTTTTTAAGGCAAGAGGTTACACTAAATTAATTTCTCATAATTTTTTAATTTTAAATCTATTTTTAGTTTAACTTATTTTTTTTTATTTATTTTTTTTTTTAGTTATTTCAGTTCAAATATATTGACAAGATTCCATAATATATTAAAGTCTGTTATTTTGAGTAACAAAACTTTTTAACAACATTTACTCTCCTGATCCAGCTATATGCAAGGGATGCTGGGAACTAAAAATCATCCACCCAATTTCTGTTAAGAGAAAATGACTCATGTAATCCCAACACAAATGGATTAAGTTTCAATTTTAAATATATTTAAGTGGATTGAACACAATTAAATTAGGTTAGAACTATATGTATAACAATTGTGTTGCTTGAACCCATTTTAATGAAGTAATTTTAACATATTTAAAGTATTTAATTATTATTATTATTATTTTGAAAGAAGTCTCTTATGCTCACTAAGGCTATTTTTATTTGTATGAAATGTATTCATATGATGATAAAGCTTAAGGTAACACTATAGTAACATTCAATTACTCATACATTGAAATGCTTACAAATATTATTCAACTTTGTATTCATATGCATGCACTTCTTAAAAATTAAATATTGATTTTAAAAGAAATTAACAATGATTAAAAGCGTGTTACATTTGCTGTACATTTGAATGCTAAATGTCTTAAAAAATCTATTTATAAATTATCTTACACAATTTAATTATTGTATTAGTAATTTTAAGCATTTCACAAAAATAATCTGAAAGATGTCGAAATTGAGCATAAGAAACAGAGACACAAGGCCAAAATACAGTAGACAGGGTGAGGGTTCAGACGTACTTTGTTGGATCGGAGCGAGACGCGTCCTCCACAGCGTGCGCAGAACTTATTTTGGCAATAGGAACAGACGTGGCCACAGCCATCGGCAAACTTGGTTTTGTGGCAGATCCCACAGATGGGCGAGTCTCCCTTCTGCTCCGGATTCTTCTGAGCCTCCTCACCGATCTTCTTCACCTGGTCCTTATACATCTCAAACTGCTGGTGCAACTTCCTGTGGAGAGCAGAGAGGCACATTTAGGTTCGGCTCATTTTAGTATGTTCCTGTAATTGTCTTGATTTACATTTGGGGAGGAGAGTCAGGTGGGAAGTGCTGTTCCTGGATCAGTATGAGGGTACGTTTACTCCATAAAATGTTCTAAAACTGAAATGTTTCTCCTTTGGGATTTTTGCATACAGGCGACAACGTTGTCTAAACGATCCCCGTCCACACAGATCCATGAAAATGATTAAAAATGGTGTATTATGCATCCCGGGCCAGTAGTTGGCGATGTCACCTTTAAAGAAACACTATGTGCCTTTCACCAAACATACGCATGGCATCACCTTTTGTCACATTTTGTAGTTTACATGGAGACGATGAAGGTGTTTTTGGAAACCCATTTTCAAAAGTTTGCATTTTCAGACCGCCAAAACACTGTTGTCACGTAAATTTATGCAAAACTGTTCAGGAATATGAAAATAATTCAGCCAAGAAATGCTTTTATGTTCAGCAGCATAACCTGCAATGTTATTGCAAATAAAAAGAAGAAAAATGACCAGATTGGAGGGTGCCTTTTCAGTAAAAAATATTTTTTTTAATCAGAGTAATTATAAATTTATCAATAAATAATTAAATAATTGTAAAATGGAAAAAAATGGGTTGTTTATATTCTTAGATTATTTATAGTCTTATAATTTTGTAGTAGTTCATTGATGTCTAAACTTATGTCTTTTCAATATGGATAACAATACCAAAACTGGATCAGAAGGCCCAACTATGCTTTTTTTTCAATCATGAAGTTGGTTAGGAATTTTCATTCCTGCTGTAGTCTCAATAACTCTCCAACTAATGTTAGATTTGCAGTTTCATTGCTTTATAAGACACCAATTTCTACCTAACGAGAATGAAAACGTTTGCTAATTGAAATAAAGCTGAAATAAAATAAAAATTAACATAGAATGAAAACAGAAATGTCGCCTTGGTAAATAATTGAAATTAATAAATGTATAATAAAACTAAAACTGAAATAAAAAGATAAATATAAAAAAAACAATTGAACTTGCAAAAGCTAAAATTAAAATGATTTGAACCAATTCAAAATGCTATGCTGTAATCGTGTACAAATAATAGAAATAACACTTATTTCTACCCATTTCATGAAAAGTACAAGTAAATGTTTTTTTATATATATAAAAAAATATGAAAAAGTTTTGGGTTTTTTTGCAACTGTAAAAGTGAACAGTTGACTCAACATAATAATTTTCAGCCAATGGGTTTCATTGCTTTTTAAGTATATAAACGTCATGCATAATTGAAAGAATTAAGTTATGTGGAATTGTGAAATTCACAGCTTAATTTTTTTTCAATTACGCATGAAGTTTATTTATGTAATAATTTTAAGGGAACGGGTCTCACTTTTTTTAAGTAAGTCAACTGATCACTTTTTAGCGTTTAAAACTTTAATTGTTTGGCAAAAAAAAATATAGGGCTGTGCAAAAATTAATTGCGATTAATCGCATCCAAAATAAAAGTTTGTGTTTACATAATATATTTGTGTGAGTTGTGTATAATTATTTTGTATATATAAATACATGCATGCATGTATATATTTAAGAATTATTTGCGCTTAAATTCTGTATATATATATATATATATATATATACAAAATCTATATTATATAAATATAAATTTTATATATTAATAATTTATACATGCATGTGTGTGTATTTATATATACAAAATAATTATATACAGCACACACAAATATATTATGTCAACACAGACTTTTATTTTGGATGCGATTAATCGCAATTAATTTTTGCACAGCATATAGGCTTTAAACTCTGGGTTAATTCCACCCATGCTACATTCATCAGTCAAACCATATTAAAAATATGACAGTAAACATTGACAGGATGCATCTTATACTTTAACAAGACTCGTAAGATTATAAGAGAGCATTCCAGTTTGACAAGATCCAAATCTAATGCAGACAGACTCAATAATCAATAATGTATCCAGAAAAAAAACACTTACTCATCAAATGAATATTGATCTAGGGGGTATTTTCCATTGTTTTTAAGTTGCATGGAACAGTGAAGTATGACAGGGATGGGTTTTACTGTACATGCACTACAAATCATGATATTCAGTTTGAGCCCTGGAAAATCGATAACATGTCCACACTGAAAATATCTGACATTGTCTCTCCGCAAGAGTACATGAACATCCGCTGTCATCGGTCACGCATGGCTAATGGATTGAACATGTTGTGTTGTAGACTGATGAAATGGTCCGTCAAAAAAAAAAAAATGAAATGCACACTGTTAGCAGGGGTTGATCTGTTTGTACATGGTAACTTCCACATCATTTAAGTACTTTTGAACCCAGAGGTTTTTTTTACTACAGTAGTGACAAACGATATGAGGATCGAACCCACTAGACCATTACACCAGTTCTGTTTGGCCCACTTTTCTTTTTCCAGAATACAAGTTAAGACCCAATCAAAACTGATTTTCTTTTTCCTAAAAAAAGCTTGTAATTGCATAATTCGCATTGGACACAAACGTACTGACTTTGCTCACAAAATGCATAACAACTTCGGGATTTTTTTCCCCCACCTTGTTACCCTTGTGATGTTCCAGGTCAAAAATGACCGACTCGGGTAACACTTCAGAGTAAGGAGTCCAATTCTCACTATTAACTAGTTGCCTATAGCATGCATACTGGGATATTGGCTATTTATTAGTACGTATAAAGCACATAATAATGTCTTATTCTGAGTGACACTACTCTAAATCACCTAAACTTAACAACTAAATAAAGCAGTAATTAGGAGTTTATTGAGGCAAAAGTCGTTAATAATTAATATTTCCCATATTTGATATTTCCCATCTGCCTTTCTGCTGTTATCTCGGGACGCTTGTCCCGAGAAAAATGGCGTTCGTCAGGTCCAGTTTTGTGTCCAGCCTCTCACGGGGATTTCGGATGCCCCAACGCCTGTGATGAGACGACTCAACGCCTGTGATGAGACGACTCAACGCCTGCGATATGTTATGGCGCCGTTTGATTCATAAACAATATTTATATTTAATATTTATATTTAAACAATATGAATGTAAGCCAGAGGAGAACTGGCCCCCGACTGAGCCTGGGTTCTCCCAAGGTTTTTTCTCCATCCAATCTGATGGAGTTTTGGTTCCTTGCCACTGTCGCCTTGCTTTTGGCTTGCTTTGAGCTTGCTCAGTTGGGGTTATTTATTTAGTGTTTAGCAATGTTGTTGATCTGTGTTGTGCTACTTACATGTTATCACTGTGAAGCTGCTTTGATACAATCTGTATTGTGAAAAGCGCTATATAAATAAATGTGACTTGACTTGACTTGAATTAAATACTAGTGAGAATTGGACCCTAATCTAAAGTGTGACCAAAAAAATTGCTTATAAATCAGTTATTGACAAACATTAGATTCCATTTTTGGTCACAATTTCGATTATATTAAAATTTTTACTATTTATATTACTATCTTTTGCCTCAATTAACTCCTTACAAGTGAAAAAAGAGTGAAAAGTGAATAGAGTTCACTCAAGTTTATTCACCTCAAACTGCACTGTAAAAAAATATTTTCAAGATTTTTTATCACAACATATTTTCTTTTGTCAAATCAACTTTATAATAATTTATTTAGTTGAGATAACTTATTATTTTGAGTTTCTGATGGTTAAATTAATCTCCTTCACTGTATTAACTCACTTTTTCCAGTTCAATCAACTTAAAATTTTAAGGCAACCAGGTTACTTACTTTTTGAAGTTAAACCAACAATATTTTTTTTTACAGTGTAGTAATCACAACAATTTTTCTTTTGTCAAATCAACTTAAATAATTTATTTAGTTCAGATAACATATAATTTTGAGTTTCTGATGATTAAATCATTCTCCTTCTTTTTCCAGTTCAATGAACTTAAAATTTTAAGGCAACCAGGTTACTTACTTTTTTTAAGTTAAACCAACAATATTTTTTTACACTGTGAGGTTTATAAGCTCAGATCAATGTGGCCTACGATCAATCAGTTCGAAAAATATTGAATCAATCAATCAGCTGGCAAAAAGATTGAATCCAATATTTGTTGATAGCATGAGAGATCTACAAGCAGCGATTTTAAAAATCCAGTCATTTTTGCCCATGAACACCCAATTAGGTAAAGGATTTTATAGCACAGGACAAGGGAACTAGCTACTGTCATCGGCATGAAGTGAAGCCCCTGCGCTGTACTTACGGCTTTGGCTCCTCCTCACTGGGGGACTTTGACTGGGGCTGAAGAACATTACTAACCAGCTCAGTGATTCCACTGAAAGGGTTCCACCTGTTCAGACAAGCATAGCAACATCAAGTGGCAAGAACCATTCTCTCTGTCCCGTTTACTCTTTGCATTTTGTAGGACTGGTCGCCATGATTATGCCAATCTTTTGTTGATCCTGCACAAGTTTCCTGTCTAAAAACATAGTGCTAACCCAATCTTTGCCTCTGAACCCAACCCTAGCCCTAACTTATCCCTAAAATGTGAATCAGAATCATGGTGTAGAAGCTGCTAACCACAAGCCTAAACTTGACATAACTTTAAAGCTATTCCTCAAATCTGATCAAATCTGATTAGAATGTTGTTCCAGCATCATCAATGATGTTTTACGTGGTGAAATCGCATTCACCTTGTGGGACTACACAGGAATCCCAAAACATATAATTGAATGCTGCTTTAATCGTTCTTTTGAATTTAACCCTCTGATGGTCCTCGGTCACTTCTGACCGAATAATTTTCTGTTTTGAATTGAAAAAAATCTCAGCTTCATCGGAAGGTTATGATACTTGGTGACTGTTCTGGCATTTGGTATGTGAATACAAAAAAAATTGAGGTCATGATCCGAGCATGCTAAGTGGTCGTAAAAAAAATAAATAAAAAAAAAATCAAAAATGACCGACCCATAGGAAATGAATGGGAAATTTCCAAAACCACAAAAATTCACCAATTTTTTTTTTCACAATCTTTTTAAATAAGAAATCGTTTTTGAGATCGTTTCAAATATATTTCAAATCCACCAAAAAAAAAAAAAAAAAAGTAAATGTGTTCATAAACATAAACATAGCTGGGGAATTCAAATGCCTCTCCATAGAGAGCTGTACATGCCATCTAGTGGTTACACCATGGTTCTACGCTTTTTCTCTAAACAGTAACAGATGGTGCTAATTTTCTTCAAAAACTATTTTTTTCTGAAGGCCTAGACTCTATATTAAACTAAAATACTGCATTAATAATTTTAAAAAATATATATATATAAATAGAAAAATATTTTCCATGGCAAAAATAGACCATAAATATTGCATAAATATTAATAAATCCAATCAAATTGTCTCAAAAAACTAAATTAAAAAGAATAAATATTATAGAAGAAAAGTAAATTTCATTGTTGTTTACTAAGTTTCATTTTTGGGTGTCCGGTCACTTCTGACCAGGAAGGCTCAGGACGTGACTCCTAAACGAAGACCATCAGAGGGTTAACATTCATCAAACAATCCTGAAAATAAGAAACAAGAAATGTTTCTTGAGCAGCAAATCAGAATACTAGAATGATTTCTGAAGGATCATGTGACACTGAAGACTGGAGAAATGATGCTGAAAATTCAGCTTTGCATCACAAGAATAAATTACATCTAATATATTCAAATAGAAAACACTTATTGTAAGAATATATGACAATACTCTTTTTAATGTATTTTTGATCAAATAAAACGAAGCCTTGGTGAACATAAAAGCTTTTTCAAAACCATTTAAAAAATGGCCCCAAATCTGGCCTCTTTTTACAGTAGTGCATGTCATGAAAACTAAAAGGTCATTACATTGTAAAAATATTTATGCATTATAAAAACTATACAAAATGCATTACAAAAACTATACGCTAATGGGTTAAGACTTAAAAAAAAAGTCTAAAGATATAGTCTCTTAAAAAAGTTTCAGTTACTTCTCAAATGATTACCAAGTGAACTGATGTTATTTTACTGGAAAACAAGAGTGTAATGCAATAGATCAGTGATCAGAGAAACTAAGGGTGGAGAAAGAAGCCACAATATGAAAGCAGGTGAGTTTGAATCATAAGAGGACAGTAGTTCTGTATACTGGAGCACACATGGACACATGGGTCACTGCAGCAACACAGATTTGCCATTAAACGTACAACCCAAAGGTTAGTAGGATGAGAAAGCATGAACCGTTTCAGTAAATCAAATGGGGAAAGGGGTAAGTACTAGTCCTCGGTTTTCAACTACTGAACTTCATAAAGCCAAATAACTGATCATAGGTCAGTCATAGGGATGTATCATAGACAGCAAAGGGTGAAGAAGGAAGACTGAAAGCTCAAAGAAAAATTGTGCTTGTACTCACTGAGCTGGCTGAGGCTTTGTGTCTTCCTTAGGAGGTTCCCTAAAAAGATATGTTCAACAGCTCATCACACACACTGGGCAAAACATAAGACAAAATCAAAAACGGACATGTCATAAACAAATTAAATGATGGCATAATGAAGTAAGAAAACGAATAATGATATGAATGCCATTTAATGAGATTTTAGCGTGAGTTGGACCTTTACGAATTATGACTTTCTGTCACAAAATAAAAATAAATAAGTTAACATCAACTTTTTATCTCACAATTCAGACTTTTTTTCTTGCAATTACATCTCAAAATGTGGAAAATCTTATAACTCACAATTATTACTCTATTGTATGCATTATATGTTCATTATTATCATTAATATAATCAATATTAATAGTAATATTCTTCAGAGATTCAGAAATTCAAGGGGTTCCAATGATTGAGGCCAATTAGATTTAATTTAATTGTGGTGTATAATTAAATTCCAACACACACACATTCATTAGTTTATCTTCAGGGAAAGACAATTGACATTTATTTTCACACACTTTTTTGATCATAATTACCAAGGATCCCAATAATGACAACAACTATATATCTCACAATTGCAAGAATGTCAGAACTGGGATATAAACTTACAATTGTGAGAAAAAAAAGAAAAGAAAAGTTTATATCGTTATTTCTCGCAATTACAGGTTATAAAGTCTGATATAAACTTGGAATTCAGACTTAGTTAAGTTACTTAGATAACTCACAATTGCAAGATTATATCTCACAATTGCGAAAAATAAAGATCAGAATTGTAATGTTTATATCTTTAGACTTTACTTCTTGCTAATTGTGAGGTCTAAAAAACTAAAAACTAGACACAATTCCAAAGTATAAACTCGCAATGTAAGACAAAAGTCCAAATTGAGAGTTTATATCTTTATTTCCCATTATTGTAAAGTTTGCATTGTGAGATAAAAAGTCCAAATTAACTTTGTTATGTTTACTCTTTGGCAGAAACAAGATTCTCTATTTATTAAAATGAAAGTTTATGACGTTTGTAATGTTGGTGTTTCTTTGTGCTGGAGATGTCACACAGGACTGTAAACCCACTGCAGACGACTTCAGATTTTTGTCATTAAAATCAAAATATTTGTATTAGAATAAACTTTATTTTACTGTGAATTACATATATATTTTGATACAAAATTAATCAAATTCATTAATTAAAATCATCCGATTTGAGATTATAAAATGATGACATCAATAAAGAAGAATGGCAGCCCCCATAAATATGTAGAGGATTATAAAAAATCAAATAAAAAAACACACAGTCATTCATGTGTGATACAGAATCAGACGCACATAAACCAACATAAATATAAAAATCATATAAACATGAAACATTTAAACAAAAAGAGAATAAATCATATGTAATGAGAGAAATATAACTGTTTTGCCTTACTGTACGTGACTTTTGGTACGGTAAATAGCATTAATCTTTAATCTAAAGACCTTTCGTTTAAAATCCTGCAAATGATGGTTCATAAAACACGCCTGACCTAGTGTACAATTAATGCAATGTTCATTTGAGAAGCTTTACATTACCAACATCATTTTAACTTGAGATACACATATCCACAAGGAGGAGTACTACCATATTATTCACTATTTCTGCATACAGATTGCATACTCCACACAATATTATACGCAATACAACCAGGGCGTACTGCATAGAACACCATATCCCACAATGCAATGTGTTCGACTGGGCCTTCCATTTCCTGTCTGATGAACTGTATATGTAAGTATCTATCAGCTTAGATTATATTGGCTTTTGTGGCTCTTTCCCACTTATTTTATTGTGGTTGTCAGTGTATTACAAAGGTACAAAATGCATCTTGGTTATATCAGTTAATGAAATATGTTCTTTACTGTAAATGTAAAGTCCAGTAAGATTACAGTACACTTACTGTACTGTTGTTGTTAATACAAAAAGTACCATACTTGTGCAGCAACTTTTTAAAGCCACCACAAACAGGCATAGTGTTAATCCTGTTACACAACAGGTTTGACATAAGACTGATTATTTGAGACCGATGTCTCTTAACAGGTCATGCATGACTGAGATGAGTTTATGGCATCATGGGGGGAAAAGAAAATTCCCAAACTTTAATATGGAAATGTTTCATGGTCCTGTGGAACATTTTGGCCAGCTAAACACTGTGCCTTTCAGAACAAGTAAAGAGATTACAACCTGTTAGTAGCTAATCAGCACTGGCCATTCTAAAAGCCTGACACTAAGTCCTAATACAGTACAGCTCTGATGCAGAGATCAAGTACACTTGCCCCACTGTAGCATAGCGCATGTGGTGTTTAAGATCATAATTATGTTAGAAATTACACATTCGGGGCCCTATTTTGCACTCGGCGCATAAACTATAGGGAATGAACTTGCGCAAAAAGGAGGCGTGTTTCGGCGTAAACATTCCCTGGTGCTATTTTACACTTCCAGGAAACAATTGTGCCACTGACCAGAAAAAACCTGGTCTAAAGTCACTGGTGTTGTTCATAATGTGATTTTAAGCACGCATGCTTGAACCATAACACAACAATTATCTCATCAACACAGATGCGGCAGTTTTTATTTTTGCAAATCACACACTGTAAAAATGAATACGCTTTATCTAATCAATAACAACAGATTACAAGCAATATTATTTATTAAATTGAACAAATTAGAATTGAGTAATAGTTAATCAAATTAACATTCTAATTAATTCTAATTTGTAAAATTTAATTAATAATATTGCTTGTAATATGTTGCCACAATTTTATTGATTAGATAAGCATATTATTTTTTTTCAGTGCACATTATAACAAGGAAAAATATTAACGCATGAGTGGTGTCCATGAAGATGTAAAAAAAGCAAAAAAAAACAAATGTAGACCTAAATCTAGCTTACACATTTACCTATTAATTTACCTAAAAATAAAATGACTATTACTGTACTTCATTTTATTTTTTATTCTAAATTGTTTTAATTATTTACTGTATTTTATTTTTATTATTATGATTTTTTTTTATTCTAAACTGTTTTAATTGTTCTGATTTCTTTTGATTATTTTAATTCCTTCCATGTAAAGCACTTTGAATTGCCACTGTGTATGAAATGTGCTATATAAATAAACTTGCCTTGCCTTGCCTTACCCAAAATGTTCAGGCTAATTGTACTGTAATAATGACGGATCAGACCTGTTTGCCTAATAGTGGCAACTGGCAAGACACATATGTATATAAGGACATCTGACAAATTAGAAAAAAAATTCTCAAGACACATGGTAAATCTGCCATGCAACATAAATATCATGAATATCAATCAGAATATTTGAAGAGTTCAGATGCAAAATTCAAGTTCAAATTCTTGTATATTCAAGTTCAGTAATTTCACTTAAATTGTTATTTAAGTGAAATTACTGAACTTGAATATACAAGTTTGATAAAAATCATCATTAAAGAAGAAAATTTCAAATTTAGAAGCTTTTGCATCTGAACTCTTCATTTGTTAGTGTAACAAAATTCTCCATGCCACCCTGAACATGCAAATGGAGATAAGATGAACAAAAACTTTCTCCAGGTCATCTTACATTGGTCACTTTACCAGAATGGGTGTGAACGGATAGGATCCTTAAAAGTATCAGTATTCGCTCAACCTCTTTTAGACGACATCTTCTTCTGGCAACTTCATCTTCAAGTTAACTTTTTTGGATTCAACGTTGGACCACCCCAAGAACGAACGAATGCTTCAGCACAATCCTGAATCATCAAGAATCTCTCGAATATCCTGCATCTGGACTCGTTCAGCAGCCAAAACCAATGCAAGTACCCGTTTGCAGCTTTTAGATGGCCCCTTTAAGGTTGTTCAAATGAAAGCTGATCGGATTTTGCTGATCGGATTGGATCAAATCTTGAAAATGGCTTGTTCAAAAGAGAAAGAAGGAATCCAATCCTAGTTTTAATCTGGATCAAACCTTCAGTTTGTGTTGTTCAAAACTTGTCAGTGGGATTTGGATAACTTTGATCCAAAAAAAACAGGATTATCCTGATCCCAACAGGGGGTAGGATTTCAAGGTGGATTTCAGGAAGAAAATGTAGTAAAACTTTAAAATTTGTATCATTTAGTGTATATACTTTTATTTATATTTTGCACTTGACTTGTGTAACCGTTGTAACAGTGATATATGCTAACAATTAAGCTATTCAGTATAGTAAAGTAAAAATAAAATAAAAAATATCTTGTCCCCATTTGCGTTTTGTCTCAAAATAAGAAACGTGACCCCATGTTGGCTCTTCTACCTGTTATTTACATTGCTGTGATATTGTCCCATTTAGAGAACTGGTAATCTTGAAAACTGTGGTGTTTTGAAAAAAAACCGGCATAAAAGTAAGACGGATTACCCGATCCTGGATAGGAAAAAATGGGATTTCCAAATCCGGATCATTTTGATCCAGATTAAATGTTTTGAACAACTGGCCCCTGATGTTTCTCATTAACTGATTGATATCTTGCCATTCTCTTTTCTTCTCCCTCTTTCTTTACGTTTCTCCACTTTCTTGATTCTATGCAATCCTCGCTTAATTTAATTGTGTGTGTAACGTACCGTAGTTTCGTTTATCAAACCATTATATTCACATTTTACTGTCTCTGTGTTTGCCACTCACAAAAATATCTAACTTAAACATATTGATCTAATTAATTATAATGTTAAAATTAATTATAGTTTTTATTTTTTTTAAACTATAACTCATTACACAATGTTGAAAACAGTTGTGCTGCTTAACACTTTAATTGAAACCGTGTGATTTTGTTTGTTTGCTTGTTTTAGGAATAAAAACTTCAAATTAACATTTATTTTACATATAGATTCGGAATTTTTACAAAATATGTATTAATACTTATGTCACTATTTATCAAAACATCTTTTACAGATATATTAGGGCTGTGAAACGATTAATCGCGATTAATCGCATCCAAAATACAAGTTTGTGTTTACATAATATTTGTGTGTATAATTATTTTGTATATATAAATACACACATATGCATATATATATATATATTTAAGAAAAATGTGTTATTAATATATCAAATATTTATATTTATGTATAATATTAATTTTGTATCAATATATATATATAAAGTATATACATGCAAATATTTCTTAAATATTTTCTATAATAATTTCTATAATAATTTTATTTTTGGATGCGATTAATCACGATTAATCGTTTCAGCGCCCTAATATATATATATATATATATATATATATATATATATATATATATATAATATATAATATATATGCTGACATTATGCATTTAACGATTGTGTATTATGTGTTAATCATTTATCGATCAATGATAGCCTATGGCTTATCAGAAACAGGCTTATCTGACCTGCCACCACAAAAATGTGATAAACACTAGAGGCACAAAAACACGCCACTATTCCAACAGTTCACTCTGTTCGTGTGACAGCTGAGGGTGCAATCAAGCACAATTTGCAATACGAGCTTGAGACAATTAAGTATTTTTTAATATGTTTTAATGTATATATATATAACCTTTAATTGGTGCTTCAATTGGTTAATTCATTACAGAATAGTCTCAGTTTCCCATTGACAAGCAGGCACATGGCAAAAGCGTACTGCAGCTGGAGCTCATGCTGTTTGGCACCGATGGTGGTCAGGTGGTCTACAAACAGACCTGAGCGGGTACACTGGCACAGAATTACAAGTTCACTGGGTTCACTCCATTGGAACTTAGAGCCAAGTGGGCCACTCCAGTAAATAATGTCTACTCTCTCTTTCTAAAAAGAGATCCGACTGCGTCTAAGAGCAAATCTTAATTGGAATAATTAGAACCAGACAGCAAGATAAAAAAAAAAAAGATAAACTGCTAAATTGTAGTTGAAATAAATATTTAAAAATTCTTCCGAGTGCCTTGGGGCCTTGAGCAAGATAAAATCATCAGTTTACTTTGTCTCTAGTAAAGCAAAGTCCAGTGTGTAGTGCTTATACAGAAATAGCAGATGCACAGGAGTACGTAATTGATGTGAAATCTTTCAGATGCTCTTAATTCCATTGAAGCAAAATGCGCTCTTTTGGATCATTCTCAAACCATGCTGGTAAACATGATCATCAGGTTTCATACAAATTTGTGTACTCATGCAGCTCAAGTGCATGAACTAAAACAAAAGCCTGGGAATGAACAAGCACTATTCTGCATTAATTAAGATTCCGCACTAAGACTCCAAAATATCAGATTCTACTACTAAAAATATGTGTACAGTACACACTATGCCAATTAAACAGGGATTACACCAATGCAAAAGTAGAGGAATCATTGCATGTGACACACGCTTGACATCACGTCAACTCCCTACCAACTACCAGCAAACAGGTGCACCCTTGCGATTAATACAGCATGCTATAAGCAAACACAAGCAGAGTGAGAGAGACTTTCTGCCAGCACACACCGCGCTCCACACATGCATCCGCACTGCGAGCGCGAGTGGACAGCGTCGTGGTGCTGAAAACACCGCGCAAATACGCTCGCGCTAGGTTTCGCGTTAATGTTTAACGTCTGACCTAAGCGACAGCACGCATTAAAACGTGTAGTAATCTCTGGTAAACGGCAGCTGATGGGATTTTTTTAGCGAAGATGGCGCCCACAGCTAACCCAACCCACCACAGCCTCACAGAATAACCATAACTGAGACAAAATACTACATGAGGCACGAAAACCTCCGAGGCGCGTGACATTGACCTCTCTCGTGCATTTTATCCGGCCCCCTCTCAACAATAGCCTAATATTGACAGTCTACGTAAGCAGACGTATTACATTTCAGGAGACAGTCATGCTGAAAATAACAGGGAGGGTTTTAAAGAGACAAATGCAGCCATCATCCGCACTGCGAGCCAGGTTCCCTCAGTAGAACATTTCTTGGTTCCCTAAAGAACATTTTAGTCAAGAGTTCTGAAAAGAACCATTTTTTTAGTGTGAAGAGCAGTTCAGTAATCTAAAGAACCTTCTTAGTTAAAGTTAAAAGGTTCTCCAGGGAACCATGCATATGCCAAGAAGCATTACTTGAGCCCTCAAGCCCTCTGAACACAATCAGCTGGCTTACTTCAGCATGGACTGCTCTTTCTCCTCTTCTTTCTTCTGTCGGTCCATGACCGAGAGGATGATCTTCCTCTCCTCCTCGGTGAGGTGGCTCAGATCCGGCATGTCCGGCGGAGCAGGAGCCGCAGGGGATGCGGCTGGGGCCCCCCGAGCTGTCATTTTCAGGTGTAGCTGCTCCTAAAAGAGCCATGGATGAACATTTAAATACATCTGCAGAGAATTCAAGCAGCATGTGCTCTTGTTACAGACTTATGGGATACATGACTGTATGGATCTCGCTCATAAAAATAACAGGGATGCCATATATATATATGTGTGTGTGTGTGTGTTTTATTTAATTGTTTTTATTTGTTTCAAAGTGTATAAATGCCTTTATGTTCTGATGCTGAAGTCGGTATGTTTTATGACAACACATTATTTCATCTATACCATCAGATTGATGAGGCTACACTGAAGATGCAGTACATTTAGAACATTATTAACGATAACCCAGCGACAGCATGGGGAACGCGTGTAGTAGTTATACGGTTCACAATGTAGCATGTCACGCTGGCTCGTATAAACAAGCATCTTCTGAGAATAAGGTGTAAAACCCTTGGGGATTCTCGAGTTAGCCTACATGCCGGTTTCCGGGAGCCGAAGGCACCCCAAGCATGCCTGTCGAAAGTGTTTGGAGAGAAAACGAGTTCTTGCCTTTTATTTCGCAATCATGGTGAATGCAGTCTAACCCATGGCTGCTGCAGCGAATGGAGAGCTCTCGCGCATCGTCCAATGGCGGGGCGCGCGATCCCTTATTGCGGTTATCGGCGTCCTCGCTCACAACCTTCCCCACGATTCCCTCTGAGTTGCCGCCGCTAACTCCAAGAGATTTCTTGAATGCACAAAAATGGATGCGGTAGGGGAAACGGTCTGATAGGAGAGCGAGGCGGAGCGACGGTCTTACGTAGGATGAGGATCAGATGCTCCAGTCTCGCGGGTGGGGGCAGCGGAAGTGCGCGCGCCCGGACACATTCATACACTCATTTCATTGACAGGAGGCGCGATAGGAGCTGGAGCTGGAGCTGTGGGCTATGGTGACAACTAAGTCATATCTTTGTATGGTTTATAGTAATGTATTAAAAACTCTGTCTCAGGGACGTGCAAAGAGTTCCTCAAGGAGGGCTTAAACGTAAAATGGGACATATAGCCTATATATATATATATATATATATATATAGGGTGAATACTGGTAAAGTGGGACACTTTCTGATAATTTATATTCTGCAATAATTTTTTATTATGATTTATATAGCTATATTAGCCATGCAGTCATAGTAATTTCTATTACATCATTCCAGATGTTAAACATCATGTGAATGCAAACAACTCGATACTTGGTAGACAATACACACTGGCGGAAAAAAATTTGATGGGTCGTTTTTGTGTTTGAATGTGTCATTTTGAGCAAAAAATAACTCGAAATGTCACAAAATGGCACGTTACTAATACTGACAACGAAAATCAAATCAATGATAAAACAGTGTAAATACAGATGGAAAACAGTGAAAAATTAACCTCATTAATTATTTATTCAAGGTCCTGTGCATGATGGGAACCCCAGTATCAGAAAAGTAATTTTTACTTAATTTTATTGAGTTGATATTTACACTTTCATTTCTACTCGCTTGAATTAAGTACTGATATGGATTTTTTTGTAATTCTTGCCTGAACTCATTTTTTCATGTGAATTATACATTGTTTTTGTTTTGTTTTTCACTAGTATTTACTTCAACAAAAAAAAAATCATTTTTACCGTGCTTAGCATACTGTACAAACTATTGTTGGTTTAATTTAAAAAAGTAAGTAACCTGGTTGCCTTAAAATTTTAAGTTCATTGAACTGGAAAAAGTGAGTTAATACAATGAAGGAGAATGATTTAATCATCAGAAACTCAAAATTATATGTTATCTGAACTAAATAAATTATTTAAGTTTATTTGACAAAAGAAAAAATGTTTTGATTACACTGCAAAAAAATATTGTTGGTTTAACTTAAAAAAATAAGTAACCTGGGTTGTCTTCAAATTTTAAGTTGATTGAACTGGAAAAAGTGAGTTAATACAATGAAGGAGATTAATTTAATCATCAGAAACTCAAATTAATAAGTTATCTCAACTAAAAAAATTATTACAAAGTTGATTTGACAAAAGAAAATATGTTCTGATAACAAATCTTGAAAATATTTAATTGTAGCCTATAGCCTACAAACTCATTTTAAACATCAAATCGTATTCCTTTAGATCAAAATGTGCGTAAATGGTCACAGGAAACATAAGTTCTGTAAATTTTATCCAAACCTGATGTATATTGTTTTTGTATTCATTTGTTAAGCAATCAGTTATAACTTAATAGCCAATTGGCTAAGGCTATAGGTGTCGTATTGGAATATAATACAAAACCATACATTTACTATAAACATAAATAGTATGTTGTAAATATAGTGCATTGAGTCGTCGTTAAATATAGTCGCTCACGCTTGATCTCAAAGCCAAAGCTCACATGCACAGATTTGTAGAGCCTGTGGAAAGGTCTGATCTTTGAATGACGTCATATGACATGTGATGGAGATCCACTGCTACGACGCGTGTTGCTCCGCCCACTTATACGCGTCATCACGCTCTGTTATTTACCTTCTCTCTCAGTGGAGAGGAGAAGAGGTCGGACGTTGAAAGAAATGAAAGCTCACAATAATGGCCCAGCAGTGGCCATTGATTGTAATAGGGGAATTGGTTACTTGACGGTTTTCCTTTAATAACGGGGTTAGTGTGTCGCTGTCTGCACTTACATTGTTTTTGACTGCCTTTTGCGCAAGCAGGGTGTCCGTCTTTAGTACGTAAACAAACATGACCGCTACCATTTCCAGGCAGAGAAACGCTGCAGTCGCTGCAGACTCCTCTGGTTCTTCTTTTTCCATTACAGCAAGCCTCCTGCGACTCTCTAAGCACATCAAATATGAAAATCTTGCAGCTGGACTCAGTGGGGGTGTTATTTCCACAATGGTGTTACACCCCCTGGATCTGATCAAAATCAGGTTTGCAGGTATGTAACTACGTTCTCCTTATAAAAAAATTGGAGAGTGTGTCTCAAAACCTATAGAGCTGTTTATCTAGACATGTTATAGGCCTATTGTCTAGAAAAGTCTTTTCAATTAAATAGAATAAGACAATAACTGGTTATATGTTATAACAGAGTACACTCCGTAAATGAAAATGATATATTTAATTGATGAAATGTAGTATAAATGAGTTTTAAAAACAGAGAACAAGGCACTTGTTTTTTCACCGAATAATAAAATTATTTAAAAATGAGATTATTAATGTTCCACCTCTATTCTAATTATTTCTAATAAATGAATGAAATATTTAGAATGTTAAAGTTGGCATGAAATGGAAGTTGCGATAGAATTTTCTTTCCTAGTGATCTGAGTGAAACAGCTTATCGAACTGGAAAAAATACAGGGCAGGACTAGATTTTCGATGGGGAATTGATTTGGTTTGTTATTTCTGTGATCTCATGTGAGTGACCGGTTGCCCCGCCCACACATCGATAAACACGTCAGAGAAGAGATGTTGTCGCAATAGAGAGGGGAAGTTATTTGCATTAAACATTATGAATAAAAAAAAATAATAATGATGATGTGCACAGATAAATTATTTATAATAAATACTGCAGTATTCCAAAACACGAATTGCCAATTTTGATTTCATGGTTAGTTACTTAACCCAGTTGTGCTTGTTATCAAAAAAGGCTTACTATACAAACATTATAGGAATTATAGGTACTGTTGATCAAGTTTCACAACCTCCAAAAGCATGCTGTTTTCATGCTCAGTAGGTTTTGAGACACATCCATAAACACTAGAAAAACAAACACAGGCCACAACACTGGTTGTACTTTTGTACTGGCCTCAGTGCCTTTTTAAGGATATTTTTAGATAACATTGAAGCAGAAGTGGGAGTGTGTTATCCCCCCCTCCCACCCCCACTGTTTCTTACTCTTTCCAGTAAGTGATGGTTTGAAAATGCGACCCCAATACGATGGCATGATGCACTGCATGAAGACCATCTGGAAGCTGGAAGGAATTAGAGGTCTCTATCAGGGTGTGACCCCCAACATCTGGGGGGCTGGGGCATCATGGGGCCTGTACTTCCTCTTGTAAGTAGTCGAAGTTGTGTTAAAAGGGAAGCACAGAATGGAATTTCCTGTTTGAATCCACTTCTAACTACCAAAGATGCATTGAATTGATGAAAAGTAACAATAAAGACATTTATAATGGTACAAAAGATTTACATTTCAAATTCTGTTGTTTTAAAGTTTCTTTCCTCGTTGTATTGCATTTTCCAAAAAAATATTATTAAACTGTTTTCAACACTGAGAACCAAATCATCATATTAGAATGTGTGACACAGAAGACTGGAGTAATGATGCTGAACATTCTGCTTTCTAATTTTGATATTATATTTGAGTGATATTTCACAATATTAGTGTGTTGCAGTATTTTAATCAAATAAATGCTTGCCTTGGTGAGCATGAGAGCTTTAAAAAAAAAATCAACTTCCAAAACTTTCAATAAGTAGTGTTAACAACATTGATATTGACTATTTTCACCCCCCAAAAAATAATAATAATAAAATACAAGTGACCTTTTTTGAAAAGGCTTTAGGTTCACAGGCCAAAAACAGAAGCAGCCAACAGTGCTGTGTCAGTTGATACTGGACGAGTTATGAAAATACCGGTACACCATGAAGTTGTCTGAGCTAATTTCAGATCAGGATCACTAGCAAACAAAGTGTGCATGTGCAAGAACATTATACGAGTAGCAACACTGAAATATAAGTACCAAGAGCCTTGTTGATTTGTTTTTTGTCCTTCAAAATCAGTTGAATAGTATGCTGTCATTTTAAGAGGAACTTTTTTTTTTCTTGGAAAAATTAAGCGAGGTCATATTTCTCAGGAGATAAAATCAGGTGATATGACCATAAAAATAAATGACTTACAAAAATTCCACAATCTTATATCCAGTGTAATCGTTCCTTCTCTGCCGCTCCGAGCGGGATACCAGGGCATACAAAATCCTTTTTATTTTTTTCCCAAAGTCCGTTTTGTTTTTTGTTTAATTTTTGTAAATTCAGTTTTTTTACCGTTTACTCTTTCAGTTACCGAGTGAGTGACAGAGATGGAGGGAGAGCAAGGAAAGGAAATGCAACTGTAAGAATACGCTGCGTGTTAAATAGCGGAAAAAAACCGTGGTGGCCGGTGTTGATTCTGTGGCGTACCTCCACAAATTAGTCTATGTGTGAGAAACACTTCGTAAGCCCGTGTGTCCACCAAAGCAATTTTGCTCACGCCTGGCGTATGTTTACAGTTGTTTTCAATTGGAGTGCCACGTTTTTTAAACGCTATGAGGGTAACGTGGCGTTGAGCGTTTTTTACTGGTCGCCAAGAGTTGAAAAATGTTCAACTTTGGATAAAACGCGGGGCTCATCACTGTCACTTTTTACCCAACTTACCCCACACCGACCAACTGTCACAACATTCTCTCTGTACAACGACATCAGAGCTAACTGAACAAAATGGATGAAAAATATTATTTTAGTATGAAACTAATTATCTGCAAAATCAGTTACAAGTAAACAGCGCTGCGGATATTCTGTATCATAGCAGACTGATCTCATGACGTAGCGTGTGTATGACACGCCAATTCGTATTTCCATTTTTGGCGTGCTATCAAGACGCATAATCGCTTTTCAGCGTGTTTATGAACGCCGTTGACTTAACGTTATTACTGTATATACAGTACAGTATAAATATATGACTTACCTCAACCCCGTCCCTAAACCTAACCGTCACTGGGGTTAATGGCATTTATGACTGTTCCCTTACCATCCTAGGAAAAAAAAAGATCGCTCCCCAGATGTAGATCTACATTTTGCTTCGTTTCGCGCGGACATTTGACGGCGTGTACAGACACGCGGAATCACTCGGACGCTAATGGCGTAGACATACACGGATACAAGCAGATACACGCGGATAGCTCAAAATATGTAGAGATAACACGCCACTTGACTTGAAAGTGGCGTGTATGTTTACGCATATGTCATGATGTCATGTTGATCGTAGCAACGAAACGTGTCAACGGAGAAAACGCTGCACTGCCAAAACGCTCTCAAGCGCCCACAGCACGGCGTCTTCAGCAGAGCGTCTGGCGTTTTCAGCTGGCTAAAAACGCTTTGGTGGACACGGCCTAAAAGTCACGTGCGAACTTGCTTGGCACTGAGGACTTAGCGTCGAGTTTCCTAACTTTTCCGCCAACGAGCCGTGGAGAGCCACTTCGCCATGCTTTCATTGGAACTGAAATGACGGGAGGGGTTGTGTTGCCCAGACTTGCTTCCTTCAGTCTGCATTTTCCCCAGACATATGTTCTTCTCCCTCACAAAAACAGAATTTCATTCCAAATATGTAGAATTCCACGAAATTCCGCGGTAACACTAGATTCCACGTTAATTGGCCAATTCCGTGATTGCTGAAATTATAGGGCCCTAGGATTCGAAGGAGGGTCTCTGGCGTGGGATGCAGGCGCGCTAACAAGGATACTAAAGGCCGCAACCTCTAGCGCCAGTCGCAGGAGCACCTCTTGAGATCAGGGGAGTGAGGTTTACATGCACAGCTCTTACTGGCCAATGTCCGTTACACTCACCCCCTAAACCTCACTCCCATTCGGGTCATAGCACCAAATGTAATCTGTCCTACTCATCGAGAACTGAAGCCGCCAGAGTCTCGAAATGACGCTGACATCTTGGAACTTGAGTCTGCGCACTTGCGTGTTTCGGGACCAGTCGTGAGCAGGAAGTAGAACCGCGAAATCAAGGCCGCGCCCTCATTCTCGCTGAATCAAACGCAAGCACACGCCCCGCACTTTCATTAAGTGTCCTCTGTCCGCTTCGTTCTTCTCCAATCATTTCCGCTGATTGCAGAACCTCGTTAAAATAAGGTAAATACAACTACTAACCACATAATCAACATTATTAAAAAAAAGTCCGCTGGTGCTTCATTGACTACCTCGCACAGAGAACCTGTCAATCGCAGCTGTCAATCATGATGTCAGAGCACCGTTTTTATCATCACATAACTAACTAAAAACAAACTTATTTTAAAAACGAACACTTGAAATTACATCAACGTGATAGAAACTACAGTAAATGACAGAAACTATCTTTGGAAAAAGGATATGTGAAGTGTAAATTAATTGTTTAGTTGGTCTCGCGTCCCATTGAATAACATGGGGAGGCGGGGGTTATGAGCTATACTAGGTCCGGTCACAGGGGGGCGATCGAGACGTTTTGGCTTCACTTTTGAGGGCTTGTGCGGCACGCTTGGTCCTACTCAACCCACTCTGAGCGGGATTCCAACCAGGGTCTCTGGCGTTGGAGGCAGGCGTAAAGACCGCAGCCTCTAGTATCAGTTGCTAGAGTGCCTTTTGAGATCAGGGGAGTGAGGTTTACACTCACAACACTAACACTAACTAGTCTGTTACACTCATCCGCCTACAACCTCACTCCCATCTGGTTCTCGGCACCAATTGTAACTGGTCTTACTCAGCCCTCTTCGAGTGGAATACAAACCGGGGTGTCTGGCTTTGGAGGCGGGCATAAAGACCGCAGCCTCTAGTTTCATTCGCTAGAGCGCCTCTTGAGATCAGGGGAGTGAGGTTTACATGCGCAACTTTTACTAGCCTATATCCGTTATACTCACTCCGGGTCACGGCACCAAATGTAACCTGTCCTACTCAACCCATTCCAAACAGGATTCCAATCAGGTTCTCCGGCGTAGGAGGCGGGCATAAAGAACGCAGCCTCTAGCATCAGTCGCTAAAGCTCCTCTTGAGATCGGGGGAGTGAGGTTTACATAAAAAATAAAAAGCCTACCCTCACTAAAATCCTCATGGGGATTCAATAATAATTATATAAAGGATGCTCATTTTACAGCACTGTAATGCACTGTACAATAGATATCCATGTGCTATATGGCTCTCATGAATAAAATGTGGCCCTTTTTCATCTTCCCACAGTTATAATGCTATTAAAGCGTACACACAGGAGGGACGGCAAACAGAGCTGAGTGCTGGCGAACACCTGGTGTCTGCAGCGGAGGCGGGTCAGTATGAGAAAAGAGCCACCTGTGAGCTTGACAAAAGTAAACAGCTAAATCTGTAGCTCAGTTATGAGACTGGAACAACTGGAATGTCAGAGGCCTTGGAGACTGTGTGTTCGTCTGTGCAAGATGGGTCTTTCCTGTTATGGCTGTTATATCCCCTTCCTTTTGGCTGTGCCTTCCACTCTGTAACTACCAACTGTGAAATGAGTGTTCTCAAAAGTTGAAAATATATACCAGGCTGTATACCACAACGAACCCAGACACTTAAACTTTGTTGATTATAACTTGATTTTTACACAATGTTAGTTACAAAGAAAACAAACGGGATGGAAGTTAATTTTAATGCATGATAACTATTGTTAACCACTTTTCAAAAATGTTTTTTGGTATTGGGGTTCAATTTTAATTAAAATGTTTAACAGAATGAAATATTTTCTTGACATAAACTAGATGATGCCATGATGGGGGACGTTGTCATTAAGGAAGGAAATGTTAAAAGGATCTCCGGCTAGTTTGACAACTTAAGTCCCATTGGTTTAGCGATACCATTTGCGCCACAAACCTGATATAATAACACACCCGATGTTTTTGTCGCGAGATATTTTAAAATTAAGTTTTTACCTGTGAGTCGCCATTGCTGTTTTTACCCATTGACGTAGACTGGTCCCAGCGTTATCGAGTTAAACTATTACCTCAATTAGCGAGCAAAATGGTTGCCATTCATCCTTTTGAGTTTGAGTGTCGTAAATACGGAGGAAGGTTCACAGGACGCTAATCATCTCGTAACCGTAGGTGAGGAGGAGCATTGGTGTGGATGTGGCAATTCTTTACCAATGCCTACTGAAATGGAGAATATAAATCAATATTTTGTGTCAAATTATTGATTTATTAGGTAGGTAGCCATGAAATAAGCAGCATAATGGTTTCGCGTCGGGCTCCCGCATCACCATGCAGGGGTTGTATTCGTTATAACAACCGCCTCGCTAAACATGCTAACCGTTACTTAGTTTGGCCAACACTGAAAGTTTTTCCAGACAATAATGCAGCGTAAACATTAGACAAGTAGTAGTCTAGACAATATTGGCTGGCGTATTGGCACAATGTGGCATTTTATCTCTTTAGGTGGGTCCGATGATGAACTGTAGAAGAGTGTGTCGATTCGAACTGCCCGTCTCTAATGAGCGTTTTAAAGTTTGTAGTTAAGCGCTCAGGACCGTCGTGCGTCATCAACAATCGATGGCCAAGTAGTGATCGTGCTTTTTTTAATTTTTGAAATCATGAAAGCTTTTGAGATATTTTTTAACCAAGCGCCTTATTTAGGAGGGGTTTTGACATCATATCTAGACCAATTTGGCCAACTAGCCGAGATCCTTTTAAAAAAAAATTACAAAATGAAAAGTGATATTGTGGAGATATCCTTAAATAACCAACTTAAAAGAATATTACAAAAAAACTTGTTTTATTTGAAAATGAATATATAATATATTAGTTTCAACTTTTAAGTTGAACTTTTGCATGAAACTCAATTTTTTTGAGATTCACCGGAGAGTCTCTTCACTCGCAATAACGTCATCAGCTTTCAGTTGAGACTTCTCTGTTTTCATTTGACTGTGTGAAGCATTGGCCTTGATTCTGATTTGCAGTCTCTGCAGATTTTAATCACGTTAATGCGTCATTTGATTTCTTTGAAGAAATGGTGAAAATGCTTTGCAATATCACGTTTATTCTAGCCCATGCAGTTTTGCCACTCAATTAGCATGTTTATGTTAAAATAATGCTGTTTCAGATAAATCTTCAAAGCCTTCATATGGAACAAAGTCTGTCTTAGTGATTTTCAATTAAAAATGAACCTGTATGTTGACTTAATTGTATTTCGGCCTCAGATTAAAAAACAGTAATTGCAACTTTATTTATTATAATTGTAAGTTTATATCTTGTAATTGGGACTTTATATCTCTTACTGTGATTTAATTTCCTATTTTAAACTTGCCCCACATAATGGGGATATGGATATATTACATAACATGAATGACCAACCTTAAAACAGTTTTGTATGTGGATATGTTGAAACTGACCCCCCCAAAAAAAGTGGAAAATAGAGAAGCAGCAAAACTGTGGTCTCGGCTCAGGAAGTGAAACAATTGAGGACCAAAGAGTATTGAGGGAGAAAATAGTCCAACAATATCAGTGTTATCACTAACTAATAGGAAGTTAGCACACTTCAACTTTCACAATATTACCCAAAACACATTTTACATCAACCTCAGCCTGCATAAAATAATACGTGTCTCTTTTACACGTAAAAAGATCTGCTACAGAGCACTAACGACGAATGACTTCGTTAAATGTTGGTGTGAAGGTACCCTGTTCCATGTTTCCAGGCATTCTGACGCTTTGCCTCACCAACCCGGTCTGGGTGACAAAGACCCGGCTGGTGCTGCAGTACAATTCAGACCCGTCACGGAAGCAGTACAAGGGAATGATGGACGCCCTCGTGAAAATATACCGTCACGAGGGTATCCCGGGACTATACAGGGTACATCTACAGATTTTAAACTAACCTGAGATCCTGTTACAGGTGTAATAATAGAGCTTTCATGTGTGCTAATGTATAAAGATAACTTACAGTGAAAATAACCAATTCCAAAATGACTCTAGTAGGGCCGTCAAACGATTAATCGCGATTAATCGCACCCAAAATAAAAGTTTGTGTTTACATAATATATGTGGGTGCACTGTGTATAATTATTTTATATATATATATATATATAAATACACACACACACATGCATGTATGTTTAAGATAAAATATTATTTATATATAAAATATTTATATACAATATAAATTGTATATAAATTTATATACAGTATTTACATGAAAATATTTCTTAAATATATACATGCATGTGTGTGTCTTTATATATATATATATATATATATATTAGGGCTGTGCAAAAATTAATTGCGATTAATCGCATCCAAAATAAAAGTCTGTGTTTACATAATATATTTGTATGTGCTGTATATAATTATTTTGTATATATAAATACCTATGCATGCATGTATATATTTAAGAATTATTTGCGCTTAAATTCTGTATATATATATATAAATACATAATCTATATTATATAAATATAAATATTTTATATATGAATAACACATTTCCTTAAATATACATGCATGTGTGTGTATTTATATATACAAAATAATTATATACAGCACATACAAACATATTATGTCAACACAGACTTTTATTTTGGATGCGATTAATCGCAATTAATTTTTGCACAGCCCTAATATATATATATATATATATATATATATATAATAATTATACACAGTGCACCCACATATATTATGTAAACACAAACTTTTATTTTGGATGTGATTAATCGCGATTATCGTTTGACAGCCCTAGACTCTAGTAAAAGTCTTACTCCTGGTTTCACAGACAAGGCTTAAACATAGTCCCAGACTAAAATGCATGTTTGAGTTGTTTTTACTGAAACGTATCTTAAAATAAGTCAGTGCCATTGTTTTGTCACAAGATGCACACTAATGTTTTTGTTTTTTTTCTCTAGTTTTCTTAGTTTTTAAATTGAACTAAGGCCTAATCCTGGCTTAGTCTAAGCCCGGTCTGTGAAACCAGGCCAGTGCAAAACAAGAAACGAGGAGGAGAGCAATCACAATATTATTTTCTAAAATCAACACCTCAAAATTGCAATAAATCAAGGTTGACAACAGTCAAGCTCAACTGCTCAAAAAGGGAATAAGCAAATCAACATCCTTCAAAAAAGGTCTCTTCAATTTAATGGATAAATAAAATAATGTCAAAAGCCTACTTGCACTGGACACTGGTTTCGGCCTCATCTCATTTATAAAACACAACTATTAAAAAGAGATACTGTATCTGTAATGCCCTGTAGATGCCTATTTAGCAGAAATAAACTGTAAAATACAACTAGTAATTGCATTCCTCATCACAAATGTATTGGAGTAAAGAGTACATACTTAAAATATAGTCAAGTAGAGAGTAAAAGTTGCTAATATCTTAGATACTCAGTAAAATTACAGCCAAAAAGAATTTATGGTTAAAGTGTGCTGCTGAATGAAGTGACAAGCATTTAAAATAAAAGATACTTTATCATCATTTATTGAATCTTGGGTTACACTTATTTTTAAAGTGACTTCGTTACATTGTACTTATTCAAATAAGCACTGAGTAATATTCATTACAGTTAGGGTTTAGTTTAGTTATTTGTAATTATGCATAATTTACTGTTATAGTAAGTACATACATAAGTAGTATTACTGTGTTACTGAAACGTGCATCATATGTTTTCAAATACATTTGTAATAATAGTTTTGTGATGATGAAGTTGCAATTTAGTATATTTAAAATACAGTAACTTTAAATGAAAGTTTTAATTTCACTGTGCAGTAAAAATCAAGTACTTTACATGTGCTTTAGCATGTCAGTCAACACATCAAAATAAGTGTACTTTAAAGCACGGCAAATGCATTAAATCATAATGATTTATAATGTACTTTAAAGTAAAACTTTTAATATAAAGACTTGTTAACTGCATACTTAAGTGTCTTTAAGCACATTTAAGTGGCCCTTTATTTCATTAATATTATATTATCTGCAAGTCCAGTTTTTAAATTCTCATTTTTGAAGCACTTGAAGTGCGCGCTTCTTTTTCTTGTGCATAGAAATACGTTTTTCTTTTTTAATTATTATTTAATAACTTGGTCCCCTATTTTTATTGAATATCATGTTTACTCTGATGACTGATGAGAGATCCATCCTTTTAACTCTCTAACATTGTAGTTCTTTGTAGGGCCACAAGAGGGTGTGATTAAACTATATTTGAAGGATTGATGCAGCTCCTAATTAGTGATTCAAGTTAGCCCTAAATACAGTATAAGCTCAAATCTTTGTGAGACACGTCAAATTTTCCTAACGTTATTACATAGCATAGAAAAGGTCACTCTAGTTTAATTCTAGTCTAGTTAGTTGCTCTTAGACTATGATGTAACTGTGTGATTGTGGCTTTGTTTTGTTTGTGAGCCTCATTTTGTTGTTCTGCCACTGCAGGGTTTTGTGCCTGGGCTGGTGGGGACTTCCCATGCTGCATTGCAGTTCATGACCTATGAATGGCTAAAAAGAGAGCAGAACAAATATAAGAAGATGCCGTCTGAATCCCTGCTGGTGAGGATATAAAACCACACTTATGTTTTTAGGATGCACTAAGAACAGCACTGCATGGAAATTGTGAAGTTTTTCTATACCTGTGGTAAACTTTCTTGCTTTATATGCTTATTAAGTAATAACCAATTTTGACAGGATAGGGTCATACAATGGTAAATTGTGTATGGATGTATGTGTGTACAATGTACACAAACTGTTTTTGACCATTAAATTGATATGGTCGAATCGAATCCTTCATAACTAGAAATAAAAACATATACATTAAAGGAGTAGTCCACTTTAAAAAAAACTTTTGCCGATAATTTACTCACCCCCATGTCGTCCAAGATGTCCATGTCTTTCTTTCTTCAGTCGAAAAGAAATTAAGGGTTTTAATGAAAACATTCAGGATTTTTCTCCATATAATGGACTTCAATGGGAACCAAACGGCCCTTATTCATCGTCTGGAATCGTTTAAAGCCCTTTCAACAGTTTGCAGTTTGCACTGAAACTGTCTTTTGGACCTTGAACCGTTTGGTTCCCATCGAAGTCCATTATATGGAGAAAAATCCTTGAAAACCCTTTCTTTCTTTTCAACCTTAATTTCTTTTCGACTGAAGAAAGTATGACATGAATATCTTGGATGACATGGGGGTGAGTAAATTATCAGCAAAAGTTTTTTTAAAAGCGAACTACTCCTTTAATGTTATAAATATTGTTTATAGGTGATTTAAATATTTTTGACTTAAACAAAAAATAGATTATATACATATTTCCATGACTTTTCCAAGTTTAAATATAACATAAAATGTACCATTTTCAAACCTGGAAATCTTTTTAGAATAATAACAGCTAATAAAATTCCAAACTCTTGAGCTCTGCCAGTGTCTTGAACTATAAATTAATTCATTTTATAAGGTTAAAAGGCACCACATACAGTACAAAGAATGACCCGCACGATTATGTGGCTTTTGACTGTATTGTAACATTTCGAAAGAGAGGTTTATGTGTACTGGTCATCATGAATGTGAGTCAGTCTCTCCTTCCTGTCTGTCTCTGCTTCAGTCTCCACTGGAATACATCACCATGGCAGCCATTTCCAAAATATTTGCTGTAGCAGTGACCTACCCATATCAGGTGGTGCGCGCTCGCCTGCAGGACCAGCACAACAACTACAGTGGAATCGTGGATGTCATCAGGAGAACGTGGAGGTATGAAATCACACGGCACATAAACTCCATCACTGACAGAGCACTCAGAGATTGCCTTTACCTATAAGCCCTACCTCATTACAGAAAAAAACAACAACATGTAACATAAAATAAAATAAAATTGGATAAATTCGTTCAGAAAAAATCATTTGAATCCCTGATGATATGGAAATAAAATCAGCCTTATGTTTTCAGGATAGGGGGAGGGACAGCACAGCATGACTTTTATATTTTAAAACTGTTTCGGTAACACTTTACTTGTTAATATTAGTTGTTGTATTAACTAACATGAACTAACAATGAGCAATACATTTGTTACAGTATTTTTTAATCTTTGTTAATGTTAGTTAATAAAAATCCAGCTATTCATTGTTTATTCATATTAGTTCATGGTGCTTTAACTAATGTTAAAAATATATATATAATAAAGGTAGTAGGTAGGTAGTTAACTAATGTTACTAATGAACCTTACTGTAAAGTGTTACCACTTTTTCGATATCTCTGGTAGAGTTTGAAGCTTATTTTGGCCATGCACTGCCCAATTTAAAAGGAAAGCTTCATATGACTGAAATTGGACTGTACAGGATCATGTGTGGCCACTGCTTTTAACCAATAAAATCAAAATGTTCCAGTCCTTGATGAGCTATCACTTTAGTTTAGGGTCCAATTCTCACTATTAACTAGTTTTTTAATTTTATACATAAAAATACATTTAATTAAATGTTTAATGCATTATTTTAACTCTCCATATTTAAATAATTATTTTTTTTTGTTTTTTTAAAAACATTTAATCTATAGTACCATTCAAAGTTTGGGTTCAGTAAAATGTTTTTAATGTTTTTGAAAGAAGTCTCTTATGCTCACCAGGGCTGCATTTATTTGACCACAATACCGGTAAAATAAAATAAAAATAAAACTGTGAAATATTACTATAATTAAAAAAAATAATAATGATACTAATTTAATAATAATAATTTAAAAAAGTTTAAAAGAACAGCATTTAATTGAAATAGATTTTTTCTTTACATTATAAATGTTTTTTACTGTCACTTTTACAGCATTCCTGAATAAAAGTATTAAATTCTCTTAAAACAAAAATATGTTTGAATGGGAGTGTATATGTCTCATTCTTTTTGTGCTAGATAAATACTTTTTTTTAATATTTATAAGTTTGTGCTTTATAAGAGTATCCATGATAAAGATGGTCAAATAAATTACTAGCAATTACAAGCAATTTTTGTCAAATCTAGTTTAAAATACATGTGCCAGGTTCATAGAAATGTATTCTTTATATTCATTTTGGTTTCTTATAATTTTGAAAAAGAACATTTAATGACTCCAAAAATGTCATGTGGTGTAATCATCAAATAAAACTGAGTACATGTGAGAATACACATCTTTAATAATTATTTTATGAAAAAGTTATTAAATACATTTTAAGGTAAAAAAGTCATTATGTTTTTGGGGGAGACACACCACATGACATTTTACAACCTGAACTAATCTTGTATTGTCATAAAACAAGGTTTATTTTAAGAGGTTTTTGAGTCATGATGTCATTTCCTGATTTAAGAAAATTGCAAATCCGCATGTTGGTTTTCCCACATGACTTTGATTTGGCATAGAATTGTTTTTTATATTTCATTTCTAATAACAATAATAATATCAATTGACAGTTTTAAAAAAATACAATTGATTTTGCAAAACATGTTTGTGTTTGTCTCTCTCTAGCAACGAGGGGATCGAGGGCTTTTACAAAGGGATGATCCCCAATTTGGTGCGAGTCATTCCAGCGTGCTGCATCACCTTCTTGGTGTTCGAAAATGTGTCACGGTTACTTTTGGATGAGTACCACTAAACCTTCAGGAGACACATGCGGGACCAAAACAACACAATATGCCAGGACTATGTATATGTGTTAGAGGCGAGCAGGAATATGAAACATTTCCTGTTTAACTCTGAACTCAACAAAACTGCAATTTAGAGTGTGCACTAAAATAAAGGTGTGCATATATATATGAGAAGAGATGTTGTAGTTTATTGAGAGATTTCATATTTGTGTAGGCTAAATATTGAACCACGAAAAAAGTGTCATTTCAAAATTTGAATCGATTTCAACTAGTCAATAGCAAGAACTAGTCTTGGAAAAGTGGATTCAAGCCATCCTGTGACAATGCAACCAAACACAAAATTTAAGATGTTTGTCTTTTTTTTTTTACAATATTTTCACTAAACAGCTGCTATATTTGCTGACCTATGCGAGAGAATGAACCCATTTACCTTTACCCATAAGCAGACCTCCGCTGGCTATAGTCCCTGGGTTGAAACTCACTGGGCATGCTCAGGAAATGATGTAACGCTGCAGGATAATGGCACACAGGCCTGGGAGGCAGGAGCAGATTTTAACCAGATGTGTGTATGTAGATCACATCTACTGGAAGAGAGGAACTGGAATGAAAGGAGACACATGAAAGAAAGAGCTGTGTTAAGTAGCAACTGAGAGGAAATAGTGTTTGTATATAGAAATGTGCTATTGTCAATGACGCACAAAGAAGAGCTGATGTATGTACAAGCCATTTTTTACACATCTAATAAAGGAATATATGTAACAGACAAAGGACCCTGAGCTATTGTACACACTATGTTTTTAATAAGAACCAACAGTGACCCTATAAACTATTTGGACACTTGTAAACTGTTTGGGCTTTTGATTTCTTTAAAAAAAAAAATGTCTTAATGGCATAGCATTCAATGCAAAATGTCAAATCAATTGCACTGGAATTAAAAACATTATTACAAGCTTGCTGCTTTGAATCTAAGGCAAGCAGATAGTTTTGAACACTGGTACTTGATCAAATTTGTAACCCCAAAAAGTTAAGAACTGAAACTTTAATTCAATGTTTACTTACAAAATATGCATGCAAAATCATGCCAAAGAAAAATTGTACATTTTTTTTCAGTGTAGTCTGAGGTTTTTTTTTTGTTTGTTTGTTTGTTTTTTTCAATCATTTGGTGTGTTTTTTGTTTTTTTTTTAGGTAATATATCAATTCAGTTCTCAAGTGCACACTGGTGTCACAGCATCATTAAATATCAACATGATCCACTGAAAACCACAGAATGTCAAAGACAATAGTAATGGTCTTTTTCGCCATTTTTAATGCAATGACTATGCAATGACAGTCATTGTCACATTTTTAAGTTTCTATAATGTTGTGTGTGTCAGTGTATCTTTTAACCTGAACTAAAAGTACTCTGATTTCTCTTTCTATTGAATTCTCAGCAGCTCAACAGCTGCAAAACTACTTCAATACCACACCAGACATTCCAAGCCTTAGTCATGCTACAAAGTGCAGTTCACTGCATTTTCCCATCTACACCCCATTTTATGTGGTGCTTTATGCTTTTTCAATTCGATTTTTAAGCTAATTATCAAGTAGTTGGCCTCAACTAGTTTTATTAACAAGCTCTTTAAAATGTATAAATGTGTTTTTAAATTGTAGTTGCATTTTATTTGATCAGGAATACATTAAAAACAGTAATATTGTTGTAATAAAAAATAATATAAAATATCTTTAAAGTTAAAGGAGAACTCCGGCGAACAATGAACTTTTGGTCTAATAAAACATCGGTACCTAGTCAATCGTTGCTTTCATGATAATCGAATGTAAAAGTGTTTTATCTCTAAAAACTGTTTAGCGTATAATGCTAGTAATGGGGGCATTGACTAAGGAAAAAGAAATCGCTAGTTTATACCACTAACAAGATTGAAAATAGCCCCACACTAACACATAATAAGGCTCCATACATGCAAAATGACGCATTGAGAACTTTGTAAGTGTACAGACCGTTTAATGAGATACTTTATGAAGACCGTTCACCTCGCGTAAAAACAGACAGGAGCCATTTTAGAAAATAGTCTCGATAAGTCGATCCCCGAACGCCGTTCATACAGTTCAGAAGTTCGCTGAACTTCATACAGTTCAGATCACTCACTATGGCGTTCGTGGTTTGACTTATCGAGACTATTTTCTAAGATGGCTCCTGTCTGTATACGCGAAGTGAACTGTCTTCATAAAGTATCTTTTTATTAAACGGTCTGTACACTTACAAAGTTCTCAATGCTTCGTTTTGCATGTATGGACCCTCATTATGTTACTGTGTTAATGTGGGGCTATTTTGAGCCTTGTTAGTGGTATAAACTAGCGATTTCTTTTTACTTAGTCAATGCCCCCCCATTAGCATTATACGCTAAACAGTTTTTAGAGATAAAACTCTTTACATTTGATTATCATGAAAACAAATCAGAGAACGATTGACTAGGTACCGATGTTTTATTAGACCAAATAAGGTTCATTGTTCGTCAGACTTCTCCTTTAATATATTCAATGATGGCAGAAATATTAATTTTGAATAATAATATATAACATTAAATAAATTGAGATTTGTTTCCATATTACATTTTTTATTAGTGAGGTGAAACTTGACCCTGACTTTTCTTCATTGCCTTTGGTCATTTAAAAAAAAAACACAATGGACACAAAAATATGTTGCGTTCTAGTCATAGAGGCACAAAGAAGAATCATTAAATAAATATTAGCAAAGTAAGGATCATCTTTGTTGGACTTTCAATGTTAAAAAAAAAATGATGGCAATAACATGGTACAGTGATGACATCTTGGGTAACAACATGGTACTGTTTAAATACCATATTCATTTACCATGATATTTAAATAGTAAAAGATACTTTTTCATCATTCAAATTTGTATCATGGTATTTTCCAAATAACCGTAGTACTAACAGGACACTTATTCCTCTCTAATTGTCTGTAGTATCTAAACTGAGCATACTGAATCCCTCTTAACTGAGCCAGAGAATCATAATCTAATACATGAGAGTGGCACAGACTCAAAGCAACAATATTAGCTTTTATTTGTCCAATTTCTATGAGGAAGGTCTTTTCTGTGAAAGGAACATGATGTCGCTGTCTTCTATTGCCATGGTGACAGTGATCATGCTCATTTTGGCAGCTCTTCGATGATCACCCTGGATACAGAATTCCATCCTGTAGACGCGTCACCACGAGGGTAGTCGGCACAAGTGCCCACCCATATCCCAACATCCACCAGACCAGCCTGGATCCCATCACAGAGCCCCTCGACTGGCAGAAAAAACACAAGCAGTGACGCTCGTCAATACTGTATAATGGAATAAATGTGTTGTTACAGAGGCAGACACACATTATATATAAAAAAAATTAATTATATAAGAATAATAATTAAACCTAATTATAAACAAACACTGTATAGCACAAAAAATATGATTTAACTTACTAAAGAACTTACTAAAGAATAGATGGTTTTTAAGAATTTTAACAAGTCACAATTATAATTTTTTTTAAATCAATTAATTAGCGCTGTCAGTTAATGAATATTACAAGTCCATCCAAACAGTTTTTAATTGGGATTAGAGAGAAGTTTTTTTTATTTGTGATGTCTGTTAAGGCATATACGTATTTCACTGGTGTGTGGGTGGGTGTGTGCTATATATACAGATAAGATCAGTTAGTGGATGTTGAGATGTGAGCTGGTGAGAAACCACTAAGAGCTCTCAAATTCCTCTGGTCTCTCTGTAATTGCAGCACAGATGGTTACGAAAACTACCAAACTGCCTTCGACAACACAAAGGAATCCATGTGACAAAGAAATCTGCATGAGAGTCTATTTCTGCGTTCAAAAATAAGAAATGAGTACAATAGTGGATTATGGTTATGAAAGAATGGTATTTCAAACAGAATAGTATTTTTAAAAACAGTTAATGAAGTGTCGGTCGTGATTAATGAATGTGGATAAATTGAGTTTTAAATAAACAAATTCTTGTAAATACACAATATATGTGGAGTGTATATTTTTAAATGCAATGTATATTTTGGTGGTGTAGAGCCCATTTTATGTTTTGCCATATTTTGGAAACCACAAAGCCATAAATAGATGTGAAATGTATCTGCATAATTGCAGAGTGTCTGAATCACACATATGCATCCATAAACAAGTACACATATGTTTATAACATCCAGCTTTTTATTTTAGAATATATGTCAATGAATTAATATGTATATTTATGATATCCAAGCGAATACGTTTCAAATATGTTAATTTTATTGGCAACATTTTACAATATTTCTAATGCACAGATCCAAGCAGTGATTATCTTATTTGTCTATGTAAAATTTATACTATTTTTGCAATTTACTGATTTAAACCCCCCCCCCAAAAAAATCTTGCAGATCAGATAGTAAATGATACCTGTGGATGTCCTGTGGATGTTGATGGTGGAGTTGAGTTCAGGGCTGCCCTGGTCCAGGTAAATGATGGACTCTATGGGTAACGGTCCAGTGCATTCAGCCCCATTAAAGGTGAAGTACCAGCGCTGACAGCAGGCCGTCTTGCACTTAAGCCGGAGCGAACCGCTGAACAGCACACGCAGAGCACTGTCTGAACGCTGCTTGGTGAAAGTGCACTCCTGTGATGGAGAAATCAAGACATTTTCCATTGTTAAATCACTGAATGAATGTCTGAAGAGAGAACCTCTGGTTTGGCAACACTAGAGTGCTGCACATATTAATAGGCTAAATCTCATTTTACCACTTCCTGTTCCGGCTTCTTGAAGTCAATGGATTTTTTTAATGGTAATATGCCTGAAATGAGGTCTGTGCTTAATCCAAACTCAAACATATTTTCACATGTTAGTCCAAATACATCAGCAACACACCAGCTTTTACTTGTCTGGATGTTGCTAACAAGTGTCTAAATGGGACTACAGAAGTTGTCTGGGACATTAAACATCCTCATGCCAGTCTGCTATCATAGCATTATGATGTTTATTATGTTTATGCAAACTATAACTCAAACTCTCAGAGAAATTCTGAAAGAGCAGCTCTAAAAATGTGCTGTGCTATTAAATGATAGATAAAACATGATAGAATAGACTACTATGATTCATATTCTTTTAGTTTCTATACCCAATACATTAAAAAAATGCAAATTCAGTGAAAATACCTCCGCAAGCATTAAAAATGTAAGAATCGGTATCGGAGTCATTCTGGAAAAAGTGGTAGTTTTTGTCGAGCGAGGCGAATGCGAACTTACGGTTTGACCTAAAGCTCACGTTTTGCTAATATTTGAACTTTTGCCGCTAGATCTAGCTAGATTTGTGACTGTCCGCTCAATGACGTATTCTCAAAACATGACATGAACTACCTATAATATTTATAAAATCTGTATTTTTTTATCATTATGCAAAAATGGGTAACTCATTACAGTAAGGTCCCATCAGTTAATGTTAGTTTTTTTTTTCAAACATGGTTGTCATTTGTTTTTTTGTTGATATACATTCATTATTTATTCGTATTACCATCGAAATGCGACAGTCGTAAGCTTAAAGTTTAGCTGGCTGTTAGCCCCTTCTTACAGCTTTTTCACTAGCGAAGGTTTTCTGTTTATGTTATTGCAGGACCATCAGCCAATCCGTGTTGTGATGATGTCATTTCCTGAGGCTCCCGAGTCATCAGTCGCATACCATTTATGAAAAAAAAAATAAAAAATAAAAAAATATTGATGGTTTAACTTAAAAAAGTAAGTAACCTGGGTTGCCTTAAAATTTTAAGTTGATTGAACTGGAAAAAGTGAGTTAATACAATGAAGTAGATTCATTTAATCATCAGAAACTCAAAATAATAAGTTATCTCAACTAAATAAATTATTCTAAAGTTGATTTGACAAAAGAAAATATGTTGTGATAACAAATCTTGAAAATATTTTTTTACAGTGTTCAAAACAAAATGGCACTCAATAGAACATACTTACAGCTATCTTGCCTAGATCAATGCCGTAGTTTAATGAATTCCAAGCACACTGTTTGAAGTTCGGTTTCCAGGGATCATCAAACCTTTCTGTCACACACTCTCCCTTCTCGCCTTTAATCCCATCTCTCCCAGGGATTCCTGGTGTTCCTGGAATGCCATTTATCCCCGGGTTCCCATCCCTGCCTTGCACTCCAGGTACACCCTGCATGCATGGCTGGTACTAATGACAAAAACATGAAGAAAAGAGATATATAGATTCTTCATGAGGATGACAGTGATTCACCATGATGCACAGTCTGCTGTGGGTGGGAGAGAACCATGAACCGTTCTTGAAGACGGATACATTTGTGCCGAAATGGCAAAAACAATGAAAACATAAAATTGGATGAAAAACTTGTGTTAAATCCCCTGACCACAGCCACATTGATTCAAAGGGATAGTTCACCCAAAAATACTCAACCTCAAGTTGTTCCAAACCTGTATGAATTTCTTTCTTCTGCTGAACACACACAAACACACACAAAGATATTTTAAAGAGTAAGACTGTAGCCAAACAGTTGATGGGCCCCATTTAATATGATAGAAGTCATTGGGGCCCATCAACTGTTTGGTTACCAACTTTCTTCAAAATATCTTCTTTTGTGTCACAGATTAAAAAACTTGAGACTGAGTAAATGATGAATGAATTTTGACAGAAAATAAAGTGCAGTTGGACTCTGCAATGCTCATAAATTTTGACTTATTTTTAAAACAATATTTTTATCATTGGTTATCGTCCTCCTTGGTTTGAACTGGCCATCAGTCTTTGTCAGATTTTCATCCAGTGAGTAAATTTATAATTTAATCCACTTTCTTGGGGCTTTTCAGTACAGTTCTCTATTGCCTTGCAGTGGTTTTACAGACCAAGGCCATCTCTCACAGGTTTTATGGAATCATAGCCACATAACAAATCCAAATGAGTCTTAGTTGTGGTTTGTTTGCATCCTCTGATAAGAATGTGCAAGGTTTTATGTTTGGTTAGATATTACTTGCTTGCTTTTTAAAGTTAGAAAACCAAAGGCATTTCAAAATTCGCCAAGTGTACTAAATGCAAAGGTCATCTTGGTCACACTTGGCCAATTTCAATTTTAGCATCTGTCACCACTTTGGTCTTTGGTCTCAAAGTCTCTGCTCCATTGAGCAGCTGAATGAATAAGATTAAAATTAAATAAATTGAGTGGAACTCAGTGAATAAAGACTTGATTTATATATATATATATATATATATATATATATATATATATATTCATTCATTAATTCTTAAATTTTGGACAGTTCAGTTCAGCAATCAGAAAATAAGAAAATACAGTTTGCAAAGTATAAGCATTACGCCTATGGTGAGTGCCCACACATTTAGTGAAACGTCCAATTATGAGGCTGAATTCTGCCTTTCCCAAATGAGCTAAACTTTTATTTAAATCAATCAAACTAATCCGTAACGGAGAACAGAAAATCTAATTACAGGGGTAAAAAGCTACTTTAACAAGGGCAATAATTTGGTCTTTTATCCAAATGAAGTATACTTCCATTTTCCGAAACAGCCTATTTGACACACATTTTAAACAAGAAGCGGATAATACAATATTTATCATCTGGAACGATGCATCTTGCCTATCTTTGACCTGGGTTTGCATTCAACATTTCTTTAAAACGCTATAGCCTACCTTGTCTGTAAACTCCGCGTCTCTTTGCCGGGCGTTCCTTTCTTTAGCCTTCTCGGCGAAACAGAATGGCAAAGTTATACAAAAGCAAATGAGAAACTGAGGCAGTATTTTAACCATCATTACTAAACTGCAGAGGTTTACTGCGTGCGCGTGCCTGATCTGATCCAACTGTTGCCAACTAATAACTTTTCTAAGAGAAGGAGACTAGCTGTTCTGTATTCCTGCAGGGGGCGCGTGACAACGAAGGAAGATCTAGGCTATAGACTGCTGCAGTGTTCAAACTTCGGGATGTGTATCATTGGAGGTAGCCTAGACATGTAGGCTATACTTAGATTTCGATTATTAATAACTGATACATTAATGAATATACGCCCAATAATCTATATTTCATGCATAGCTTCATCGTCTAATCACAAACGATTGATCCTTCCAGATGTGCAATGAGAAAACTAACATGTACCACGTGGCAACACACTTAATAATAAACTTGAGTGCAATCTGACTGCAATAGCTCACTGACTCCACCCAACATTGCTCAGATTTTAAGATCAAACAGCATGTTAGCCTATATGTCTATTCACACTGTGTGTAAATCTATTTACACTTGTGAAACAATGTAAACAATCTGCTTGGCACAAACAACATCTACTTCTATTTACACCCAGTGTAAAAAGCATCCACTTTTTATGCTAAATGTAAATGTGACCATTCAGAATAAGTTAATTTCTTTTAATTTGAACAGAAAGTGATTTAAAAAATGTAACCTATGTAGCCTACATTCACACATGAAAGTCAATAAGTATCAACCTAAAACCAGAACTTTATTTAAAGTTCAAGTTTTGAGGTAATAAAATGGCTTTGGGGTCTCTAAAGGTGACTTGAAGCTTTTCTAATCTGCCATAATGATTTTAAATAGCACTCTTTAAGGTGAAAAAAAAGAATAGTTGTTCCTGAACAAGTAGTCTATTCATTCAGTGAGTTTCGTTTGTTTCTTTTCCTTCTCTTGACCCGGAGGCACCACAGAGACAGGAACTGAAGGGGGTCTCAGACCACAGCTGAGGTATTTCCCTGTCAACATCCCGTTAGCCCGCCTCATGCCATATGAAAACACAGACATTAGCCATATTCATAATGTTCATCTGAAGAAAAAAGCAAACATTTTGCCTACAATAGAATTCTGTCTCAATTTAGTCTTGAGATCTTGAAATTTCAGTTCAATTTCAAACTTTCACTTGTTGTATATTAAGTCCTGTAACTGGTCGTTATTTAAAATTAAGCAAAAACTTTAATGCCTTTACTAGCTATTGTTATTTTGTTGTTTTTAACTAAAACTAAACCTAGCAAATACCTATAAAACACATTAAATGCAGCTGAAATAAAACATAAACATTGCATGAAAAGACATACTTAAAAAATTACCATTAAAAAAACTTAAACAGTAGAAATATTGCATTGCCAACTATGTAAAATAAGTTGAAGTATATTGATAGGCAATTATATATATATATATATATATATATATATATATATATATATAAAATATTGAGCTTAAATTAAAATTAAAATAACATTTAAAAACATTTAGTGTTTTTTAATTAAAATTTAGCATGATTTATACATTGTTTTCCTCATAGCAACAAAAGTTTTGATCCGACAATGTAGAATAATCCAGGTTTTACTATCCTTGTGAGGCCACACACACACACACACACACACCGAGACATACACAAAACAGTTTTCAAGAGCTAATATGAACATAAAAGTTTTATTACTCTTTTCTATGAGAATATATATCAACAATTTAACAATTTAAATGACTTAGTGGGCTATCTATTTCTACATCAGAGAAAGGTACCAGTAGATGGCAGAAGCGCTTTATTATAAAACTCATCCTGTTCAAAAAATGGCACACATCCACACCAATTAATGCACTTTCAAAGTGATAACTGTAAGATCTTAGTAAGAAATCAAAAGTTAGGAGCAAACCATACTACACCAGTACAGGCAACACTTCATTTTAGAATTCATTTTTGTTTTATTATTATGACTTTTACATTCCCATTAGTTATTAAAATTGCATTTCTGAATGATCTCTGAACAATTAAAATGTGCAATTTATTACATATTTCAAATAATAATAAAATAATAATCTTTGTTATAAAAACGTTACGAGAATATTCCATTTTTATCATTTTGCAAACATTATGAGAAAGTTAAGAAAATTAACCATGATTTTATTATTATGATTTTATGAGAACGTTCCCTGTTAGCTGGGCTATTGCTCATGTTTGTTGGATCTGACCAACAGAAAGCAACCACCCATGGTGTTGACTTATGCACTGGCAAACTCCACTCACATTCTGTCTCAGAAAAAAACAAAAAAACAAAAACAAACAAATCTGCTTTATAAATCCCACTGCACAAGAGACATTTCTAAACCTATGTATTGTGTGGTCTAACTCTATGAGCCAAAACTCTCCTGTCCACTGAATGACAATTCGCAATATAGGCAACGAGTGGGAAGCCGTTGCTTAAGAAAAGTAAAGCCTTGTTGTAATATTGTTTCTTTGCAACAAATAGAGAACAAACAGCTACATAATTTGCATTTAAATGACAGGCACCAATTTTAGACAGCTTGTTAGTCTAATTACAAGGAAATACACCCTTCAGTTTGCTGAGATTCAAAGTGACTTGGTTTGTTAAATTCAACGAAGGGAAAGCACAATAAGGATAATTAGAAAGTAAAAACAAAATTACATTAGTTCTTTTGTTAACACGGAGGATAGGTGGAAAGTCTCTCACTAGAGCAGAGTTTGTTCATTTGAGTAAATAGAATTACCGTAAAAAGAAATTAAAGGCAATTAAATAGGACAAAACTCCTAGCGGCCTTTTTTTTATTGTTCTTTTTTAATTAATATGATCGGTGCACTTATTTAGAGTTTGATTGTTTCCAAACTCCTGCTGAGAATAAACCCTTTCAAGTCTTTTGGAACCTCTAATATAATTGTGTTTTCCATGGAGAGGTTGGACAACACAATTATAAGTGTTGTTGACATGTTGAAAATGCCATTTTATGTTGTTAGCCTCGTCTTATTGTTCTGCTCAGCGCAAAAGCATAGATAAAGGAAGGATTTTAACCATTAGAGAGAATATTGTGTTGAACGTCTCGGGTTAATTGACTGTAACCCTGCTCCCTGAAAAGGTGGGAACGAAATGCTGTGTTGAGCACTATGGGAAATACATCTTTGTATGACCAGCTGGACCCCTCACAGAGTTGTGTAGTTTGTGCTCACAAAGATGCGAAAGGCCTCAGTGATGTTGACTCAAGGACGGAGTAGCCTGAACATTCAAACTTAAACTTGGTGAAGCTGGAATCACAGCTGCTATTTAATGACTTGTATGAGCCTTTTGATATTCCTCTTCGAATCAGACAATTTTTTCTTGAATTATGTTGTACATTAAATGATTGAACATTATTATATCTGCAATACATTTATGTCGGTTCTGACCTAAGGTGGGTTATGCACGCTAAGTTAGGCTGCATGGATGGGCAGGGACCAGTGTCTTGCCCAGAACAGAACCTACCGCAAATCTAAACTGAATGGTAATTCACCTTTGGCTTAGCCCCGCCCCCCTTAGTTACTGTCCGTCAAACTTCATCCGGGCTATATGGTTTGGTATCATGGCTTATGCTGTGACAGCTCTTCCTGCTGAAATGTTATCAAACTTTTATAAATCAGCAAATAAAGTGTCCGATAGAAGTAGGCAAAAGGGACCTATATGCGTTTGAAGGCTATATTCAAGACATACATGGTGAAACGCAAGAAACAACAAGGCATCCAAATAGAGGCAAAAGCACGACGTTACCGTCACAGTCAAAACACGAAACACTGCATACTAATCGAGACGGAGGCTGGGACTAACAATATCAGGGAGCAACACTGTTCATGGAAAGTTGGGTAGGTCTCTATTCACTTTTATAATATTACAAAGCAATCGGACTACACGAGTAGCTATAGCTAACGTTGTTTATTAGCAACATAGCGCTAGCGTATCAACCGAAATACGCTATGAACCGAAATCATAACCTGAAACATTATAAAACGGTTTAGTATAACTTCACAGTAAGGTTAGAAGCAATAAAAGATGTGATTGTTGATCTTTGAGGGGTTTAGCTGACTGAGGACGTCCATCTACAGTTTAATCCAAAAGACGACACTTGTCGGGATTTGACTTCGGTTTTGGGAAGGGAAAAAAACGGACACCCCCTCCAACCTCACTGGGAAACACTTATCTGTGTTATATATACCCCAGGCACGATGTTTAACCATATTTTTGATAAAACTACGATAATAGCCTGCCAAGACCAAAAATATGAGACGCCTGTGTTGCTATGAAAACGTGTCGGACCTCTGTGGGAGCTCGTTCTTGGCTGCGCTGTGATTGGTCAATCTACATTCTAGGGAGTGGCTTAGCCAAAGGCGAATTGTCAATTATCTTTGATGATTGAGTGGTCCTGACAAAAATGAGATTGCACGAAAAGTAAACCAGTTATGAATTTGCCATGAGAGGGTGTTGGAGGAAACTCAATTTAACAAGCTTATAAAAGCTTAAAGTAGAAGGCAAGAGAAAGCTAAAATGTCCTACATTGCCAGATTGTAACTGGTTGAACTGGAACCATTTTAGGACCAAAAGCAGATGAGATTAAGATTCTTTGCTCAAGGGCACAACAGCAACAGTCAGAAAAAGAGCTCATGGTGGGATTTCCCGTTCACGCTCCATAACCACAAGCTTTGCTTCAGAAGCCGATGCTTTATCAATTAGGGCCATGCCCATTAGTCTATTATTCACTGTCTGCATGATGTTCCGACATCCTCTTTTCCATGGCCAATTAGCCAAAACACAGTTCCAATACATCACTGTCTCCCACAGATTCTTCTCTCACAGACTGTTTTTCCACGGTCCATAAGCTCAGCAGAAACGTCACAGCCTCGACCACGGCCTTAGAATAGTCAATTAGTCCTTCTGTAGTTCAGAGAAATTTTGGCACAGCTAGCTGGGGAGAAACAGAATAGAGGGAGGAAAATCTTAAATCAGCTCAAGACATTATGTTATGGTGCTGCTGAGGCTTTGTACTTTGAAGTATGATTGCTGTAGCTGTCTCACGTCCATTAATGGAGCTTTCCAGCATGAAGTCAGAACTCAAACTGTGTGCACT